TGTTCAAGGACTTTTCCCGGGTGTAGGCCCTTCTGAACCTGCCCCAATCGCGACGGCTATAAGAGGTCAGCGCTAATTAGAGGTCACTCCATGATTGGCTAGCTCGCGGGAGCGAGCGGCTGACCTGGGCAGACGCGCTGCGGAGGCGGACGAGTTTCACATCGCTGGTAGCCTGCTCCACAATGGGATTCTGGAGGTAATTCTCTAGAAAATCCCTAAATTCCCCAAATTCCCTAGAATTCAGTAACTTAAGTTATTCGCTCTACTCCACACTACTTAAATCGCCGGCCACTTTCCAAGGTGGTATGTTTTTGACCTATGAGACATTTTCAATGTCTTTTTCGACTTATTTTACTGTTTTTTTTAGTTCGATTGCATGCTCTACTCTCCTAGGTCTTTGTGAGTTTGATCGCATAATCTCTCCTACGTCTGCCTCCTTGCAGCATCATCTAGTCACATTCAATTGAAATGTGCACTACATGCATGCCAGTAGGGAAGCATACGTGTATTTATGATGAGTATGAAGTTTTCTTTACACCGTCCATATCAAAAACGCAATCAAATAAAAATGCATCACCTTCATTTGGTAGCGTGATCTACATGGATTGATTTTTGGTAGCGACATTTTCTTTGCTGCACGCATCATGCTTTTTGAAGCGTAAAAATTTTAAATGCACGTTTAAAAATTAAAAAAAAATCAAAAGTTAAATTTTACTAGGAATGAGAGTTTTAAGGAGATGATAATTTTCTTGGAAAGCTACAGAGATGCACTTAAATGTCAGAAGGAAATACGCATTTGATAACGAATGAGCGTAGATCACAAATTTAAGTTATAATTGGCCTTTATAAAGAGTTGTTACACAAACTTTGACTACGTGGGCTTTCCTCAATAACATCAAGCAGCTCACATTAGCAATATGATGTGACGATGCACGAGGTTATAAGGATCGCACACACAAGGGATATGAGTGGAAAAAAGCAAAAAAAACTTCGAAAGAATTCAAAGGAGATGAGAAGTTATTTATGAATTAATGAATGAATTTGAATGAATTTATGAATTATTTATGAATTAGTTATTTATGACTTCGGAAATCTCCCATAAATCATAAACATACCTGCTTGGAAGTAGGGAAATCATAAACATACCTGCTGGGAAGTAGGGCTCAGAATACCAAACATTCAGAGGATGGTAGCTGTGTTTGGTTGAAATCAGCGTGGTTGGTTTGCATTGCATAATGCAACAGCCGCACGAAAGGAGTTGGTGATTTTCGAAAATACGAGCCCTTCGCGGAGCACTCGTCCGCAGTCATCGCAGCGCATGCGCGCGCGTCCTAGTTCTAGATTACTGTAGGGGACCGGTGGGTTCAGAAGGGCCGTCTCCCCTTTTCCCCAACCCTGTATAGGGCATTCGAAAAATCGTGAAGATGGCGCACCGCGCGCACTTTCGGCAGCCGCATATTCTTGGTTTTTCGTCTACTGGCATGGTTTCCCCCCCCCCCCTTGAATATGGTAGTATGCAAACACTGAAGTGACTGCCTGAGAGTTAAGGTGATGCCTTTTCATATGAGGGTCTTCCGCTTATGTGCGCGCCAAGACCTCAGTCAAATCCGTATTTTATGAATGACCTATACGATTATTCAAGATCGAAAGGCTGGATAATGCTTTGCACACGTTGTCAAAACAAGCTTGATCTTGTGTTTAACAAGTATATACTTGTGATCCATTCGATTAAGGATTATTTACAAGGATTATTTACTGTTGAGAACGAAGAAAAATAAGTCCAAGCTTATTCAGACAACGCGCAGCGGTTCCATGTCTCTTAGCTTGAGGCCTCGGGCAATCTTCACGCGCCACTCGCCACGCGGTTTGGCAGTTTGCCAGAAGTTTCGAAAGCAACACTTGTGGGCTACAAATTCATAGTGTGATTAACTTTCGCAGATTGATAGAATGCCCTACCTTCCGTACATTCAAAGTGCGCCTACAATGGTTGTCGACAATTTACCGCCAAATCGCGTCGCGATTGAAATCGCGTGAAGTATGCCTGAGGCCTTGGGCTTTTGGATACCTCCAGCGATTTCAGTCGCTACGCTATCCGGAAATGCCAGATGTTTTCAAAACAGTGGCAAATGCATAGTCTGTACAAATTTCGTAGACTGGTAAAATATCCTATCCCCTGCACATACAGAATACACGCACGATGAGTCATTATATTTTGTGTATATCGACTAACAATGCTGATGATTGCCACAGGCGTCAGAAACACACGGAAACAACAACACGCAGTCGACTGGCACAAATTTTGTGTCAAGTCCGCAGCTGTAGTTGACGCCAACAGCGTGTTGGCACCATTGAAGTATCACCCTCGCAGCCTAAAAAAACTGCAGTCTTGCTGGAGGTTTTTGTTTGTGCTTGCTGTTTGTGCTTTCATATTCCCAGGGAACGTCTTCTTTTTTAAATAGAGTAAACTAATGGTGAAACCTTTGGTTGTTTTTACAAAGCCGTAGCTCCACAGTCAACATCTTCTTTATGAGTTCCATCATTCTTCCTCTTCTTTCGCGACGTTCCTGCTCTCGAGTATCGCTATGAGGTTTTACTGCACTGTACAGCGCTATATTATGTTTGATTTATCACCTGGACACGTGGCTCCGCGTGATTTTATATTGGCGATGGAGCAAGCTTCACAGTTGTTTGTTCCGTGATGTCGTTTCCAAACATTCTCTAAAAGGACAGCATTGTGCTTTTGTAATTTTCTATAGCTTTAGGGGTGTCACTAGACTGTGTTTTTTGTTTGATGGTCTGAGTTTGTTTTAGTCTTTGTTTTTGGTGTTCGTTTCCTGCAGGATCGACTACAAATATTCTTGCAAAAATCCTGAGACAGTCAATATAATACAATGCAAATTGCTGGCTAGATCATCCAGTGCTCCGTAATTGATTTTGAGGCAATTTTTGAATGGAGTGACGCATTTGTAGATTCCACGCTCGACTACTCTTGAATTTTGGCACTTTATGGTTGATCTGCTAGTTCTCACTAAGGGTTTCTGGATTGTCATTTCTTTATTGTCTAATTTAGAGCAGGATAGGATGAGAGTCTGGGAAATAGTTTGGACTTCTGTTTTCTCTCAGCCCATTGCAAATCCAATTTTTTGAAGATGTTGACGATTTCCAAGATTGCATTCTGTTGTTCGCGACCTTCAATAATTTTTTAATAGCAAAACAGGTGTTTAGGGATTCAGTCAAAATCGTTTTAGAAGAAAGAAGTTTTCTAGATACTTCCTCATCAGCAAAAAATGTTTGTCGAGAACTTTTTGCGCAATTTTTTAATACCGCATGTGATGATCTTTTCACCTCGTCTTGAGCAAACACTTGCGGAAACTTGGAATGAGCAGGTTTTATTTGGGTGTTCTTTCATAGGCCTGGGCCGTTTCTTTTTCGTTTCTGTTTATGACATTGTCATAAAATCCTCTTTTTCGTATAACGCATCAATACAAGAACTCTCTCTCAAAAACTATTCTGCCATTTATACTTCGCTGTGTGACCTTAGGTCATGTGTTTGGTCTTTTTCAGCGCGGGTGATTCTTCGCACATTGGTTTTTTACTTGGTTCGCTAACAGCGTTTGCTTGTTGATGCACAAAATGAGAATAGGATCAAGAAGGTCTCCCAAATATGCCCTCGGTTTACGTCAATTTTATAAAAAGTGCTGGTACTCTAGGTTTGGTTTAATACCGTCTTCAACCAGCTCAATCGTAATGATCTGTTTCTGAGGTAAATACGATCCGAATCTCAGGTTTTCTTTTTGCTTCTGAGGGCAGGCAAACGTTTATAATTTCTGAAAGTCACGTCCTGTTTGCTTACAGCGATTGTAAGCGTAACCTCTTTTTTCGGTATACTGAAACGCGAAGACTTGGGTGAATACTATGCTCTTGACTTATTTGATCCACTCCTGCGTGATTGGCGTTCGAACTAATTGTCTATGGCGATATGCTTAGATGAATAACAAACTTTTTCATTTTTATCGTTTTGGGCTCTGACATCTAACACTCAACGAGTTCGAACTTATCATTCTGAAAATGCTTCTTGAGCTCTCCTTTGATCAATGCTAAAATCGGAGACCAGTTAGTTTTCTCACTCAGATCTTAATCTGAAAGTATCCTGAGAACTGCTTTGTTAAAACTTTTTGACTGTTTTTCTTGATGGACAAAACTGAATCTATCCTGGCTTGCTAATTTTGCACGCGAGAATGACTCCAAAACCGCTACTATCTCTGTATTGCTGTGTCAATAATTGTCTTTCAGTAATCTAAATTTGTATTTTGACGTGTGCAGCAATTTGAATCATCGATTGTTTCAAAGGCAAGAGTATTGGTTATTAAGTCTTTTGAAATTTTACACTCGGTTTTTCTCTCAGATTGCTCTATTCCTCGTCGTCCGTAAAACTCTTCTGTTTTGAAAGAACGATGTTTCAATCGTGGGAGGGGAACTCTGGGTGCATAGTGTCAAATTAGTTTGCTACCCCATAGTGCTTGGATTGGTAGCTGAGATCCCGGGAGACAAAACTTTGGATTTTTATCGCTTCCAAATATATACCTGAATCACAATGACACGCACCGTACTTGATCCAGTTGATCCGCTCGATCCACTTCATCTGCTTCGCTATTGGTCAGTTCACTGATCGACCAATAGCAAAGTGGATCAAGTTTATGGTTCATTTGATCGTTATGTCTGATATGGAATCTATCCCGTGTAATAAATGAAATGAAATGAAAGTTGGCGCGTGCTGACGCATGCTTTCTCGGAGTGTACTGTGCGCAATGCATATGATTTGACGGCACGCGTATCTGCCAGGATCAATGTTTGATGGATGGAAGTTAATTTTCTCATTTCACCGCTTAACAGACGAGACTGAATTCTTTCATGACGAAATTTTTCGCTTTCCAGCTACTTACACACGATGAGCAGAAAGTGGAAATCTAAAGCGCCTTTTTAATTTCATTGCATTTCAGGTACTGTAGTTCCGAAAAGGAATTGCGGACACCTTGAATTTGGCCCCTATATCAAGCTGCCGAATGTCAACACCAGTGCAAGAAGGCGATCCCCCAACTGCGGAGGCAAAGGCTGCGGGGGATCAGAAAGAGCAGAAAAATGCTGTAGCCTCCCAATCGAAGATAGAGAATGATTCCCCACCAACGGAGGCGAAGAACGCGGGGAATCAAAAAGAACCGAAGAATGCCGCAGCCTCCAAACCGAAGGAAAATCGTGATCCCCCATCTGGGGAGGCAAAGGCTGCAGGGGATCAGAAAGAGCAGAAGAATGCCGCAGCCTCCCAACCGAAGGTTCGATTTTATGGTTACCATTGTTTTCACTTTGTTTATGCATATAATATGTCTACTACTTCAGCAGAACCATCGTCATCGTCGTCGTTCCAACACAAAAGGTGAGGCAGACGGTGGTGATACATCACGTAGCGGAAGTCGAACAAATAGTCAGTCCGGAAATAAAGGTAGGATCTCCTCTGATCGATTTTCGATGTCTTTTCGTTCATCCTTTGCTTATATAGAAAAGCCACGACGTAAGGACTGGACAGAAAGGAAGAGTCAAAGTCAGAGTGCCAAAGGCGATGGGGAGAATAAGAACGCTCAAGGCAAGGATAAAGACGGTGCCTCGAAGCGGACAAGAAGTTCCAATTGTAAATTTTTTCTCAATTTATGAAAATTGTTAGTTTATGAACATTGCATAGATACGAGGGATTGCATATAAAAAATGATATCCGGAATCAAGACCCTTCTTTTCAGCGAATGGAAAACGCCGTGAGCGAGAGTCGACCCGTACCAGTTCTATGGCAAGTAATGGAGAAGGTTTTGATTACAGTGATGAGTGTAGGTTCCTTGAGACAAGAGATTTCTAAGTGTATAATGACGATTGGTATTTTAGACGAACTTGATGAACCATTCAGTGATTCTGACGACGACATTCGACCTAAGCAGCCTCAGAAACTTAGCCTTATTATTCCTCGGGGTAGAATCAGGTGAGAACTTTGTTTCCTTTCTGCGAGCATTGTTTTGATCTCCTTTCAAGTTGTAAATGTATGAGAGTTGTTTTAAACATTGTTGCATGTATTTCCCTGCGTTGTAATTGATTCAGGGCTAAGTTTAGCTAGGTTGTTCTTAAATAGATGCTTTTTTAAGCCATTGTTCACTTTATATTTCTGTATTCCTTCTATCTACTAGTTTCGTTTGATCTTGTATTTTCTTTGGAAAGTTTTATTTTTTCACGGTCTTCTTCTTTTTCCTCAATGCTTCTATTTTTAGAACTTTGTCTGGTACCGTGCCAGTCGTCGGCTACTCTCCAAAATGGGGTGGTCCAACCATGTGCCTGAGCTGCTTGCAGTTCTTTGACTTGCCCGAGCAAATGGAGCCCTTTGAAGAGTACGTGCATTGTTGCTCATCATCATTGGTCATCATCACGGCAAACTCGTTTCAGGCATCTTTTGAAAGAGCACAAGATTGTTGTGTCGGAGATGGGCCTCATTGTCGATCCTAAGAGGTGAAAAATAGTTTAGTTTTTTCTTTCATTTCAAGTGTTTCAGCTTGAGTGTTTTGCAGGTACATCGAGCATTGGCGCCAACGCTTCGCCAAGGAAAGTGTCGACAAAGTGTTTCCACGTGTGGAGCCAAAAGAAGGCGATAAATATTTTGGTGCGATTTTATCATCTTTAGGTAGATAGGCATGGAACGATATTCATTTTTCAGGGGAAACTGACTACTATTACAACATGTCTGAGCTGCTACCCGAAGATTACTCTCTTCGTCAGCGTCTCGCAATGCGTCGTCTTGAAGAAGCGCTTTCATGTCAGCAGCGTGAGCGGTTAGTTTGTCTCTAGCGTCCATTCTTTGTCTATGTTCCGAATTATTCCATATTTGAGCAACCCCTTTTCAGTGAGGACAGCAATTTCCAGCAGCAATGCATTTTCTGTCGTTACACGGCGCGTGGAAACCGATCGAAAATCATCCATCATCTTTACATGATTCATCATTTGAACCTGGGATCGCCCGACAATCTTGTCTTTGTAACGGAATACATCGAACATCTCAAAGACAAGTTGACGGTGAGTCAGAGTTGTAGGGATTTGTGGCCACATCTGGCGCTGCTTTTATGTTCAAATGAGCTTCTGCTTACTAAATTCTGTTCCAGAGAAATGAATGTATATATTGTGAAAAAACCTTCGGAGATCGTAATGTTCTCATGGATCACATGCGTAAGAGAAATCATAGAGAGGTGAGAAACGCTATCTTGTACTTTTTACTTTCTTTTGTCATCTCTATTTTTTTCCTATCATTGTATTTCTATTGCACTTCTCAACAATTTCGACGTTGCATCGTTGCGTTTAGGTGAATCCTAAGAACCACTACTATGACAAGTTCTATATCATCAACTACCTCGAACTTGGGAAACGCTGGCTTGATGTTTTGGCAGAAGACTTTGAGGACACAATGCCGACGTTCCAGGACTCGGATGAGGAAGAAGAGGAGTACGTTCAGTTTTTATCTTGTGTTTTCTTTGGAGGATCTTGAAATGCACTCATGTTAGATCAGTATGGTATCGATATTTGCGTTATCACATTCTTGTAGCAACTCATGGTGCGAGTGGCAGGAAGACAATGTGGACGTAGATGAAACTCGTGTGGTTTGCCTTCTATGTAACGAAAGCGATGAGACTTGCGAAGGCCTTTTATCGCACATGAAGGTAGGCCAGTGCTCATATACCAACCTGCCCATTATGTTTCTTCTTATAATTAATTCACTGAGTGAATCGTTTCTAACTTCAATTTCTATCAGCGCATGTCTACCAGAGTTTTGGCGTTCCTGAGATAGATGTTTTCGTAGCTGGTGTTTGCGTTCGTAACTGGTCAATTTTGCAAGATTATTGAGAGTTTATCCGACAGGGCTTCTAAAATCAGCTTTAGCCTGCGTAGTCTAGGCATCAGGGGATCCACAATAGATATAAAACTGTATTCACTGTAATCAGTGAATGTGAGGAGACAATGCTGACAGCTTTCGCACTATGTAAAGTTCATTTCGTGTATAATCTCCCCTGGGATCAACGTTCCAAGTATGGATTGTGCGGATGCAAACAATTGCTTACGCATGGCTTTTTTAGGATAAGCACGAGTTCGATCTAATCAAGCTTATCGATGACAATCACCTCGACGTTTACCAACGCATGAAGTTCATCAACTACATCAGAAAGCAGGTGAGTGCAGATATAGGCGATTCCTATGCGTATAGCGGGCGTGGCCTTGCAGACCTTTGAACACTTTGAAAAACTTATACAATTTCTCTTCAAAGCATTAGTTTTTATACTCTCTGCTGTCAACAATTGCTACGCATACGTTGACAAACGTCGGCAAAGCTCCACCCGCTACACTATGGGGAATGGACAGTACAAATTCTTTGAAACAGGAGTTCAGAATTTTGTTCTAGAACTTCAATGCTATTTGCTTCATGTGTCAACGCAATGATCTTGGAAACACACAAGAGCTCGCAAAACATCTGCAGGAAGTTGAAAAACCTATTACGGTAGCTTTTTATTTTTCAGTTTTCATTACTCTTTCTTATATTGCGGATTTTTTTCTAATGTATAATGTATCAAATTCTCAGAAACTTCCCGATAGTAAGGTGTGGGACACAGAAGAGACGCTTGTTCCCATTTTCGGAAATGATCACCTCTTATGGAGACTAGAATCGTTGTTGGAAAGCCGCGATGGTGCCAGTGATGCCGAAGAAGCTTCCCGTCGTGAGAACGATAAGAAGTTTTCTAATTTCATTGCAGAAAGCCAGAAAAACACTGTAGAAGGGGTGAGTCTCAGATTTCATTCTGCTTCTATCGAATTCAAGTTTATACTTTTGCCTATTTATGGTTTTTTTTTCAATCATAATCGTTGGTATGTATTTTTGCGTTAAACATTATACAATTTTCAGGTCCTTGCCGAGGATCTGCCAGACCTTCACGAGTTGAAAGAGGACGATTTACAAGAACTCATGTAAACATGGCATTTTCCGTCTTCAGTTCCGCTACGACTAAATCCATGCCTGTTTCCTTTTGTGCCGTTTCATCATCTTCTATTTCCATGTGTATATCTTTCTTTGTATAGGGGCAGAATGACATGCTTATATAGAAAAGCCTCGAAAGTAGTCTTTAGCGTTTCATAGTGTTTTTCGCTGTTATTGAGTGTTTATCGATCTGATGTTGTGTCCTCCACATATCTTGAAACATTAGTGGAAGGCGCTACATCGTCGCAAAACTTCCGTGTCCGATACCATCCCGGGATTTTCTTAGTTCTTATTTTTAAATTTCTGCGTTTGCCTTCTCCTTTCTGGTAAACATGTGGTTTTATCATGCCGTTATTTTCAGTGTTGTCAATCCGTGGGAGTTATTTGTATCTGTACCATCACCAGCTTTTATACAGCTTTTACAGAGCATCGTTTGATACTATTGACATCTTTTCTCATTTCCCTCATTGAAGTCTTTTTTACAACTGTTTCAACTTCTTATCTACATTCTAACCATCGCTTCTAATGCACCTTTCATCACTCTGAATCACAATCGTATAAGCGGTCGTATCCGTTATATCATCCAATATTGCATTAGCCATGTTGATCGCGAAGCACGGTGCTGTTTCTGTGCCGCAAACGCTAAAGAACGTTCGATTTTCGAACTACCATGTTAACCGATTGTCTATGAATGAGTTGCCAATTTGTGAGTTTGTAACACCAGGGCGTTGTTGAATTGAATGTTGATTAAAAGTTTATAAAGAACTAATCATTTTCGTTTGGTGTTGTGAGCGCCTTGAATATCGAACTAGTCAAATTCAAAGTCGCATTGCACATAAAAGGTTGCATTTTGAGAATGCTGGCCTCCTGCCGTAGGATAGGGGTATGCTTCCTACGGCAAGCTTCATCCCCTGCATTCCTCAGGCCGAGTGTTTGTGATATCCCCACTTCATCAAGTGTGCCAGGTTAGGTGGTTTCGTTATCTGTGGAAGAGTTTCTAAACATTGGGATTGAACTGGCTCGGTGAGAAAACATTTGATCGGGAAAAACATGTTTGCAGTCGATGATCACTATGTCAGTATTTTCGTGCAGACAGGCACAGTTGTTTCAATATATCGTGCAGAGATAATGTTTAACACTGCTGGCGCAGTCTGGCCCAAATTTAGAGCCGAGAAAGGTGAGAAGTGGATAGGTATATGCACCTGTTTGCTTTCATGCATGTTTTTTTTGTCCGCTCCTTGTCCGCATACATGCTGCTGAGCATCCACTAATCTCTTTTCACCTTCAGATGCTGTCGCAAGTTTGTCACATTGTACAAGTATAACTGTGCGTGCGAGTATCACAATAGGAAAATTTTTTTCCAGAAAACGCTGTGTATGTTTTACTAAACAGACTTGGATTTTTCACCATTATCGGGTTGCTTGATTTCGTTATCTTGGTGGTAAGCGTCCGGCCTGTATGTGGTCTGTGTTCAAGGCATCGTTGCGGTATCAGAGCGGAGAGTATCCTGTCTAGAGTATGCTCTCCCCTCTACAAAAAACCATCTAAAAACATTCTTTATTGTGAAGAAGGTCTGATGTGTAAACGAGAAAGTTCTGGTAATCTCATCAAGGGCATACTCTTTTCGAGAGTTTCTCAATGGCGTTGTTTGACTATACTTTTACTTTGCTCGTCGACGTTTTCTTACACTTTGATGCGCGATATCCCTCGCCTCTTCTCTTTTTATAGTTATTGAGACTGTATCTTTGTGTCGCCTGCGCCCTGCATTATTAGCGAATGGGTGGAGTCAGTAGCATACTGGAAAGCAAACTATCTTATCCTAATTTCGCGCCTACAAGGCGCAGCTTTTTCGATTTTCGACTAAGCCCCTCAGCCGCTTTAAATTAGTATATCGGAAAGCGATCCTCATGGCGTACGATTCTCTTAAGCAATATACAGCAAGGCATAGGGTCCTTTGGCCGCGAAGTTCTTTGGCGTATGTGGGCTGGTCGATTTTGGAAAAAAAACCCCGCGCCTTGTACGCGTGAAATTAGGGTAATTATTGAACAGCGTTTTGCTTTCGTACGCACTCGTACGGTCTCTTATTTGGAGATAGTCTTTTGTATCAATATCATTCGCTCTCGGTATCTTAACGGGCTATACGATGCCTTTGCGTCTATATAAAAGTTATGAAAGATCAAGAAAAGTTCGTTGCAAACTGCCTGTTGCCTATATATACTCATTTCCCATGATTTACATAGCTGTATGTAGCAGGCACATGGCGATCTCATTCAATTTCACGGATAATGTTTTGCAGTACAGAAACGTATGAATTGCATCAAGATTTGCGTTCAGATGAAAGGCCATTTCCCATACAGAAGCGTCTATATGCTGATAAAGGAAAACGTGGAAAAAGGAAATTTGCCGAACCGGTGATTGTGAAACATACGAAAAGCACAAAACGACAAGTGGATGTCTATAGTGACATGACAGCGAAGTGAGTTGCAGAATTTTGCCCGTTGTTTGCATTTTCATGCGCTTTTTTTGAGAGAGCTATCAGAAGCTTTGGACGTGGATTTGGATACGGTTGTTGAAGCCCTTGTAGAAATGGACAAGCTGAATTTGGACCTTGTTGCTGATGAGAAGCCACTGGATCAAGAGCATATCTTGAAGGTACAGTATTTGTACTTATAAGTTTTTGCTCCATTCAAGCAAGTACTTAGACAGTTGCGTTATTCAACTGTAAGCCACGATTAGCGCTTCGACCACGAAAAAAAGCTGAGGATGAAACGGATGATGTGCTGCCACAGTAAGAGTTTTTGCTGCTTTTTATTTGTTTGGATATGTTTAGTGGGCGTTCGCTGCAGGCCACCTCCCAATCCAAAAGACTGTGTGAAGAGGCCACCTGTAGTAACGATCATGGGTCATGTTGATCACGGCAAAACGACCTTGCTGGATGCTATAAGGAACAGTCACATCGTTGATAGCGAGTTTGGTGGAATTACTCAACACATTGGAGCTTTTTCGGGTGAGTTTTCATGAAGTTTCTTTCTTTTGTATTTTGCATAAGTAACGTTCAATCCTTGAGCGGATTTATTCCCATCTTCGTTTCAGTTGATCTCAAAGGCGTAGGCCGTCGTGTAACCTTTCTCGATACTCCTGGGCATGCGGCTTTTGCTGCGATGAGAGCTCGAGGAGCGAAAGGTGCGGACATTGTAGTACTGGTAGTTGCTGCTGATGATGGTGTCAAGGAACAGACAGTGCAGAGCATCAAGTAAGTCTTTTGGGAGTTTGTCACATGAACTTTCTTAGTTATCAGTAATTTTTAAGATTTGCTCAGTCAGCTGGTGTTCCCATTGTCGTTGCGATCAACAAATGTGACAAGCCGAATGCTGATCCGGTAGGGTTCTTCGCTTATCTTTTTCACTGTTGCTATAGAAAGTATCATTATTTCTCTAGCTAAGAGACACTCACGCTTTGCCTATGTCTGGTTAACAAGTCTATGAGTGCATTTCAACGTCTTAGCGAATTAACATTAGAAACTCGTGAAAGGTCATGTTCGAACTCGTCAAACAACGCGAGTTTGAATATGTTTTTCATGAAATTCTAGTAGTAATTTACCGAAACACCTTGAAAGGCGCTCTAAAACCAGTTAATAAGGCGTACTAAAGGCGTGCTCATGTCTTGGTCAGAGACTGAACGATATGCGGAACCTTTTTCGATCTGGCCAAACCTGTCATTATCTAAATGCATGTATATATATTGTTGATCATTGATCAGCGCCACCAATTAGATGTAACGGTTTTTTTTCGTCCGAAATTACAGACGTGAAATATCTGTCTACCTTCGCATGCGCGTCAGATTTTGAAGTTCTGGACAAGACCATTCGCTTAGTATTTATGTCCAGTTTTCTCATGTAACAGTGTTTTTTTTACTAAAGATATTATTTGTAGGTCAGAGAATCAGTGCTTCGAAATTTTGCTCCATGACCACAGGCTGTTTGATTGACAGGCGGGAGAGACTTTCAGTTTTTGCAAATTAATTGTTGATATTTTTTCACACATCATTAGCAGTCCGGTGCACCAAGTGACATGAAACAGGCTAGTCTCATCCATAAAATCACCACTAATTCCTTATCTGATAGTCATTTGTTAACGGGGAAAAGCGATGTTGACATTGCTAGACTAGATGGCGCCAAGGACATCATGCTTTGAATCTTGTTTTGAGGCCCGAACCAGTTTGAGGATATTCTTGGTGTTCCTTGTTCCTTGCTCTTTTCTCAAAACGCTGCACTGCTATCTGAAGATTTTTAGAAACTCATTTTTTTGTGACTGTGTTGGCGTGACTGTTTCTAAGCAAACTTTAACACTAAAGTATAGTTTAGAGTTTGTTCGATAGAACTTTCAACCTTTTGTCTAACTGGATCTCCTCGATACCTAACTTGCCTATTTAGCTCCGTGCGAAACGTGCTTTGCTCGAGCATAACATAGTCACTGAGGACTTGGGTGGAGATGTGCAGTGTGTGGAAGTATCGGCTCTACATGCCAAGAATTTGCCTGCTTTACAGGTGCTTTCAACATTCTATCATCTTCTAAACAGTTTCGATTATAACCAGTTTAGGAAGCTATACTCACACAAGCAGATGTGATGGGTCTCAAAAGCACTCCTGAAGGTTTGGCTGAGGGAGTCGTCATTGAATCATCGATTGTGCATGGTAAATGTCTGGGTGGTTCTCATTCAATCGCAAACCGTCACTTCTCCTGTTCAGGCATAGGGAAGGTATGTACGGTGGTAGTAACACGTGGAACACTGCGAAAGAATGCGGTTCTCGTCGCTGGTGGAGCTTTGGGGAGAGTACGTACTATGACAAATGAGAAGGGGCAGAATTTGCAGGAAGCTGGACCAAGTACACCTGTGCGGGTAAGGTTTTGTATAGAAGTTGAGAGTATTATCTGTCATCGCATTAGTTCTAGATCTCCGGATGGAAAGAGGAACTGCCAAATCCAGGAGAGATAATTTTGGAAGTAGAAAATATGGATCGAGCCCATCGTGCTATCAAATTTCGCCATGAGAAAGAGATGGCCGAGAAAGCGGAAAGAGATTGGGTAGGTCACATCTATCTATGCAAATCTGTCTGCTTGTTCGCCTATTTTATTGTCGCTTGACTTTGAAATTATTCTTACAGAAAGCCATTGAAGGGCAACGCATGGAAGAACGCGAGAAGTATTTGATGAACCGACAAAAGATGTTGAATTCTGTGGGTCTTTATCGTCACTTCGATCCGATATTTTAACTCAAACTCATATCAAGACTTTATGAATCGTTTTTTGGAACAAAGGTTCACTTTTGTCAAAGTAAGGCGTTCCTTCGATTTTGATTGTGATGTTCAACCTTTACAGTAGCTGAAGTTGCCTTGTTGTAATCCAACTTCTTGCATAATTCAAATCTTTGTTTTCTGTGTTGATCATGCTGTTTGCCAAAAATCACGGTATGCTTTTTCTAGGGTTATCGATACGGATCCACCCTTCGAAGAGTGGTACACAAGGAACATCGACTTGAAAAACCCGCTGAAGATGATTTTCCTAAGTTACGGTTGATGGTAAGTGAAAAACGCTTTTCTATTTTTACACGTCCATTTCCCTAGGAGTTCTTTGTCCTATTGAAATCTTGTCTAGTATACATGGCGACAGAGATTTGGCTGTCTTAGGATTTGGCCTGATAATTATTCTGTGCCTTTTTTTGAAAGGTAGAATGACCGAAGTGTGATACCCATATGGTAAGCAGACAAATACGCATCGGTTGTACGCAGGAGAAAGTCAAGCGTTGAGTGAGCTCTGTTCTTCTCTAATTGTTCATGGGTAAGTTCTGTGCCCAAGTCATAGTTGAAATGAAAGCAAAGCTGCACACTGTACATCGCGATTCGAGCCAAATAAGAATACAATATACAAATTTCCTCACATATAAAAGTCATGATCTGAATTAGTTACCAAATTTACGCGTTTTAGCTGAGGACGGATGTCGAGGGAACTCTGGAGGCTATACTTAATGTCACGGAAACATACACAAGTGAAAAATGCAATTTTCAAGTTGTGGAATTTGGAGTAGGCCCACCAACAAATATGGACATAGAGATTGCAAAAGAAACTGGGGGTGAGATACAGCTTTTTTGTGTTTTGTTTGGTTATATGCTTTCACACATCTAGCCCTGATCTACCTCTTCAACGTACAACCGCCGCCAGCTATACGACAACAGGCTGAGCAGGAAGGTGTCCGAATTGAGCAGTTCAATGTGATCTATCGACTTGTGGAGGCTCTGAAGAATGAGTTATCGGCTCAGCTACCTACTGTTACCGAAATGGAACTTGTTGGGGAAGGACATGTGCTGAAAGTGAGTGAATAGCTCCTTTTTCTTTCGAATAATTTTTTTTTGAAAAATTTAATTTTTTGCCTTTATTTCTGAAAACGAGGTTGTCTTTCTACATTCCAACGAATTTATTCTATATTGTCATCGCTGAGTTAACACTTCCTTCATTTATTGTAAAATAACGGGACTTATGGGGCTTTGTCCACGTGCTTAGCAGCCATCATACGCGGTATACAGTTCTTTAGTGTTTTGATACATGCGACGTATTGATCTTTTTCGTTGGTTGGTAGCTTTTAGTTGTGTCCCCTGTACATCACTTTCGCCAGTTATGTTAGTACCCGGTTGATGGAATTCTGGTGAACAGTATTTTCCTCCACGAAAATGTCTCCTTAGAGTTGTCTTTTGCCATCTACCCTCTTATCTTAATTAATTGTAGAACAGAGCGTAATTCTTCTGTCTAGGAATTCCTGATCTCCGATCGCAATCGGAAGAAGCAACCCATTGCTGGTGTACTTGTTGACTGGGGCAATTTCCAAAAGTTAGTTTTTTCTGCCTTTCCCAATTCAATCCTTGTTGAATATTGATTCCTTTTAGAAACTGTGTATTCAAATTCGTGCGAAAAGGAACCATCATCTATGAAGGTGGTATAGAATCAATGAAGCATGAGGCAGAAATGGTCTCAAGTGCTACCACTAACACAGAGGTACCTTATCTCTATGTCTTTTTTTAATGCTTCGCTTTCGTGTCTATGTGTGATAAGACGTCTTAGGAGAACTTACTTGCAGTATTGTGTTTTTTACAGGTTGGAATCGCAATCGAAGACAAAAGCGTACGTTTCAAGGAAGACGACACAGTGGAAGTGTACAATAAAAAGCAAGTGCCTCAAACAATCGACTGGTACCCACCTGGATTCTAGGTCGGAAATGCAGCGCGATAAAGATTGCCGGGGCTTGTTTATAGAAAATAGTCAGTAGTGCAGTGATAGGTTTTAAATTGTTAGTAAAGCTTCTTAATCTTGTTATATTGTTGATATAAAAGTATTTTTATTGTACATATTGCTCAAATAAATTATCTCTGATGAATTTCCGTCTCAAACCGAAAGGCATTGCAACTGCGTCATACTTACCAGAATCATTGTTGTTGTTTTTTTTTTTGAGTTGCTGTTGATATGACAAGTGGATATCACGAGGTCCATTCACGCTGAGGCTGAGTGCAAAAATTGATTGAGTGCAACTAGGGATGACTAGCTGCTCCGACCGTTCCATCCCTCCTACCGTCTCTTGCATAATTCACTATCATTTGAGGCCATTGTAGTGTGCAATCCAACGATAGTGAATGGCCAAGTAGCCTGATGTCATGGACGTTGAGAATGTGAAAATCATTGATGGACTGATTTTTGGATATCTTAGCCGGCAACAGGTGAGCATAAAGTCTTGTTGATATTCACGTGCGACTTTTAGAGCATGCTCTGTGCGAGATTCTACGCGAAATCCCTTGTGCTCATCATTACGGTTTTCCTGACCCTGAAATGTGTAACTTGTCCTTTTTATTCTTAGCTTTGTACTAGACGTAATTGTGTTTCGTGGGAATCTGTATTAATTGTATCCTGCTCGAGGGAGACAAAAGTTAGGTTGTCGAGTCTGCGCGCGATCCATCCTTTTTTTTTATCACTATCTGTCTTGAGGGTGGTTTACATTACGCATTGCAATTAGCAGAACCATTGTGTATAACATGTGCGTCTATGATAATAGCATATCTAAAGGCACATGTTCCCTAGCACATAATCACCCTGTGAGCAATACAGTCTCTAAATCTAGTCAATCCGTTACAGTTTGGTTGAAGTTTCGATTTTTGAACAGGTACTTAGAACGCTTTGATGGACTTGTATGCAATTAGTAGTTGCCTCTATTATTGCGGCCAAACCAATTATTGTCCTTTCAAATCTCCAGTAGGTGTCATAGAAGGTATAGAACTAGTGTAAACATTTAATCGCCGAGTATTCATTGCGTTTCTTCGTTGAATATTCATTCTCTGAGGATTTTTGATTCGTGTATGTTGTGATAATGATTTGAATGCTAACAGCGTAGTATGTCAGCCATAACAAAATAGAAAGTTCGACATTGAGTAGTGGCTTTTAAAAGGACATGAATACTCGCCTCTTTTGTCAATTGTTTACTCTCCTGTTGTTGTGAGATGTTTTTGCAGCAAAAATATGGAAGGCTTTTGCTTCGTTTTGTTTTCCAAATAACCAGGTGGTACTTATATTCTACTTTTGTGAGGTTTTGGCATTATATACTCTATAGTTATTCCAGTACCACGAAACTCTACGCTCTCTTTGCAATGAGGCGCCCTCCCTTCGTGATGCTAGGAATCGCTTCCAGACTGATGCGGGTGTCTTTATACAAGTTAATGATCAGCTGCATGACAAAACACTTGAGCAGATAATTCAGGCAAGTTTCACAGTTGTCCTTCAATTAAGACGGATCTGATGTTATTCAAATACATCTGTTAGGCTATTTTTTATCTCTTTTCAGGCTTTTGCAGTTGTCGGTCGTTTCGATGTCACTCCTGAGCTCATTGACTTTGGTGTACGTCTGCGCAGTTTGACTAATGAGTTTTCTACGTTGACATCGATGAGAGGACGGAGTTTGAGGTACTTTTTGTTGGTTTTCAAAGTTTTTTTTTGTGTGAACTGGTGATTTTCTTTTTTTACGTTTGAGAAACACAACTTTATTTTTCTTTGTAATGGGGACATACGACGATTCAGTTTATATGTGGTAGAGCTTTTAGTGATAATCAGCTGAAACTTTACGGGAAAAGAGCGTACAGCAAGACGCACCAAAGCCGTCAGACTCCTTCCAACACCTCTCTCCGTTGCGAAACAGCCTCAACGGCAGCTCATCGTCCTACTGTTTACTGGTTTGTTTGCTGTGCTTTTGTTCTCTTTCTTTATCTATTTTTGTGTTGAACTTGAGTTTTTGAGTGTCTAGGTTTTTTTACTTTTATGAAGAGATACATTGACTCTCATTATGTTATAATCCCATGTATTTTTTGATTCTTGGCTTGATGCCATCAATTTTTTGGTCTCTACGGTTGTTTTCAGTGTTACACCATCAAATGATGCCGAGTATGTACGACAGTTACACGAGAATGCTGTCAGTGCCAGTATGGAGCATAGCGCACAGCAACAACCACCTAGTCAGCAGGATCTTAGCTATAACTACCAGTCACAGGCAAGTTCAGGTTTAGCTTTGGGAGTTACCAAAAAAAAAAACTGGGGAAAACGCAAAAATATGTCTTTTCTTACAGCAGCATGTTACCTCATCGTTTACGGTGCCCTCATCATCCCTATTTGTCCCTCAACCTGCTGTGCAGAGCTCCACTGTGACCACTGTCCAGGTAACATTGTCATATGTGGATTTTTATATGAACTCGAATGCATCTTGCAGACCCAGTCAACCCAAAACACCCCTTCTTATCAAACCAGCCAAATTTTGCCATCAGTGCAGCCTTCCGCAATTAGCGAAGAATCCTCGATCATGGATTATGGAGTGAATGTGAAAAATCAAGAAAATATGGAACTTACGCCTCAGATAAATGCCATAGGCACCCCAGTGTTAGTTCGTCCGCTATGTCGACCCAGCTATAGAGTGTATTCTAATCTTTTCAGCGCCGTTGTAGACCCAGGACAAGGAAGCTCTCAAGCACACATGAGCTCTTCATTCACCTCAGAAAGTGGTGAGCAACAAATAATACACCGTGTGAATTTTGCATTCATTTCATCTCAGGCGCTCACAAGCGAAAAACGGCTGTGCCACATCGCCGTGAAGAGCTGGTAGCACATACTGCGCAGTCTCTCATCGTACCAAATGGCGTGCTGCTGGATTTGGAGGCAGACGGAGCTGCTAGTACCACATCGGTGGGCTTGCATAATGTCAGGGTTCACTTATTCTTTAGTTGCTATCCTTTGTTTTTCTGTCTATTTATTTACAGTCGCTTAAGTTTTTTATATGGTGCTGCATAATTTTCTGCATCGTGCATGAAAATATGGATTCTTCGAGGGCAGACAATAGAGTAATTGACTAGATGCTAATCTCGTTTTATTTTTTCACCATAGACTAAATACAGCAAACGTAAGTTTGCGAATATAGGTGATATAGGAGTAGAATAAAAATGCGCCTTGAAAGAAGGCATCCTAACAACTGTTTGCTTCTCTTTTTTTGTCATGAATGATGGTGCTGTGTTAACCTCTGATCTTTCATCTCGCAGGTCGATGCCATTCAGTCATACTTTTTGCATTTCTAGCAAGTCTCGCTGCTATCTAACATAGACGACTCCGCCATGCAGTGCTTAGATCGATTGATCAATGGGAATCTCGATGAGGTATTTTTGCTTGTTTTTTCCTTCAAAGTGACTCTGCTTTGTTACATATTTTTTTCTCAAGGTATTTCCTTTTTGTGATGACCATGATCTGTCCGAATTTGCTGCGACTATGGAGAATCCTTTCCCTCCCAACAAAACTAACGAAAATGAGCCCGAACAGGCAAGATTTCACTCGCGAATGTTTTTGCTATAAATCATTCTGTGTTTGAAGGGTGCCGATAACGTTGTTGAAGATGCGGCGCCACCTCCATTAGATGTAGGACCGTCACATAGTCCTCCCCCACAAGACTCAAACTCGAAAAATCGATCATTCGATGATGGCGAAATTATCAGCGATGAGAGCAATCAGGTTGGTCGCAGTCACCTTTGAAATTTGATCTTGTGTTCTAGTTTACTTCGTAATATTACTTGGAACATCTAAGAGGTAGATTTTTATTTTTCTTAGGCTAAAGCATCAAAAACGAACTCTCTGGAAAACTTTGCTGCAAAGATGGAAGAACGCGAAGTTGCAACTCCACCACCTGCATCTAACGATACAGGGCATTCGTCCATCGACTCGGGGTAAATTTAGTTTCATTATTTTTTTCATTTGAGTGTATTTTACCTGCCCCAAATATTCCATAATCGAAAGACGACTTTTGGAGTTTTGGAGACTTTTGGAGAGTCTCTTTTTTTGCGTTGGTTTCTCGGTTTCTTCAAACTTGGTATTGCATTGGATACATGAAACATGCCCCCACGAGTTTTTCAGCTAAAGAACTTGCAATTATTATTTTAGCCTAATTTTTTTCAGCAAAGGTCGGCGTGACGAGAATAGAAAAATAGCGGATCGCTTGAGGGAATTCGGGCGTAATCCACCTAAATCAGATCTCAGAGTAAGTATTTAGTCTTCACATGTTGAAAACTCAGGTCTTTTGTTTCTCAGGAAGCTGTCCCCTAACAAGGTTGTTCAGTCGAAGCGGCTCCAGATGGGCTATATACTTCCTTGGAGGGCATGGAACGCAGATTTCATATCCCATGTTTTTTAAATTCTATTACCCTTCCATGATTCCTGACTTACGAGATCTGGCCCTTTTTTGATGAAACTCAACGCGCAAAACCGAAATAGTTGTTACGGTCTCATCTGTATTTGTCAGTTTTAAATGAATAGTCTCGCGCGTTCATATTTTCGTCATAGGAACTTTCGTTAAATCCTCTGCTAGAAAAGCACCAAATAAGTCGATGACTGTTTAAAGGGCGTTTCATGTCTCCAAGCCAGTGTACATCACATTTAGGCCATTTCGACTCATCCTTTGCTTGTAAGTTTGAGTCTTTGTTTCTTTTTTTTTTGGCTTGCTAGACTGCTAGATGAAGGAATGCAAATTGTTTTTTTGGATTATGAACTTGCTGTTTATTTTAGAAAACTAGCATGGATAGAACAGATTCCCGTGAAACTAGCAGCCAAGAGGCAAGAAATGTTTCTCGATCTTCTCCTTCCGGTGCGGTTGTAGGACGCCCATCGAGAGATCGTGATAGGTTTGTGTTTTTACTCCATTCAAAGTTTTTGAATCACGAAATTTATTGCAGACGCTTATCAGCGTTGTTCGACGAAGGCAGCGCGCCATCGTCACGAGACTCGTCCCCGCATCGCGAACGGCTGAGCAAGAAAGAGGAAGAACGAAGGAGACGAGAGAAAGAGATGGAGAAAGAGCGACAGCGAGATAAAGAGAGACTGAGGAGACAAAAGTTGGTTCTGGCGGTGTTAGTTCGCTTTCAGTATTCTAGTTTCTTTCTAGGAGAGAACGCGAAGCACAAAGAGATCGCGAGCGGTCGCACCGCAATAGCCCTGATCGCAAAACGACTGACAAACGACCCCATCGCGATGAAGAAGAGAAAGTGCGAGATACCAGGTCAAAAGAAAGGAAGCGTGAGCAAGTTGAAGAACAGAAGGTTGTGGATGAAGCTGAAAAGAGGAAAGCAGAGGAGAGAGCGCGTAGAGAAATGATCAAAAAGAAGAAAGAAGAGGAACTGGAAGCGAAAAGACAAGCTGAGTTGCAAAGAAGAGCGGAAGCCATGCGTAGGAAAGAAGAAGAAAGTCGTAGAAGACGTGAAGAAAAGGAACGTCAGGAGGAGAAACGTCGGGAAGAACAGAGACAAAGGGAGGAAGAGCGAGTCCGTCGTGAAGAGGAAAGGAAGAGAAAAGAGGAGGAACAGCGCAGAGAAGAGGAAGAAGCAAGGAAATTGGCTGAGTTAGAAGAACATAAGGAAGACGTAGATGAAGAAACGGCGGAAGAAGCGGATAAAAGTGACGAGGAAGCGGATCAAGCTGATTCTGGAGACTCTGACGACGCAGCTGCATCGGAGGACAATCAAACAGCCAAAAATTACAGTGAAGACGAGGAAAACCAACCCAGAAAAGAAGTTTCCGTGCAGGAACAATGGGTACATCCGAAGAAACTTGAGCAGAAGAAAACGTCGGAGTCGTCCACTAGCAGGAGCATAGAGGAGCCACAACAGGAAAATGTGGAAGATCTCAATCCAAGTGGGGAAAGTGAGGAGAAAAAGAAGAAGTATAGAGACGACCACCGATCCAATCGCAGTTCGTCAGATGTTCGAAAGGTAGTCAATTTTTCATGTCTTTTGAAAAATTTTGAACTAGAACGACGCGGCCGTTTATTTTATAGCCGTTGTTTGTAAGGCCTAAGTTGATCATTGACTGTTCTGATAGGCATGCACGACCGCCTGCTAAGGAGACCACTTTGTCTGCATTGAATTTTATTGCTTTTATCAAGTAAAGATCATAGTGTTGCAGAATCTCCCCACACCTTCTTCATCTCGACGTCGAGAAGACTCGAAAAGGCAGCCGGCTAGACCATTGGAGCCTGGCATGATGATGAGTGATACCCATGTGTTGGATAGGATCAATAAGGAAATGGAAAGCCTGTCTTCAAGGTAAGCATACCTACTCCGATTGTTGTGGCTGTCTGTCCTCATGATTGAAGATAAGTGCCGTTGTACTCTTCATGTTTTGCAGAAACCGCACTAGCCAAAATCGATCTCCAGAAGACACAGCGACCAGCTCAAGGAGTACACCATCTACTAAAGTTAGTCATTAATGATATTCGCCATTGAAATCTGTGATTTTTTTCACTTCTGACTCGATGATCTGTTTGGAGTAGAAGTTGTTGTTTAGATACCGAAGCGTGATGCTCCCGTGGACTACGCTCAGGTTTTGTTCTCCAATGCACCAGTGATAAAGAGGACGCCTCCTACTGTGGAAAAGAAGGTAAGCACTGCTTTCCCATCTCCTTTTGGTCTTTTTTTTCAAATCAAAAGTTAAAGCGGTTTCTTCTCTTGCAAACGAAATTCTACAAGGTCTATGATGTTATCCCGCATACCGCAATGGTCGCGATGTTTCTCACCTGCGTCTTTGAATGTATTTTTACTAGATTTTTGAAAACACGCCAAATTTAAAATTTCTATTCTTTGGGCAAATCTCTTTTTCCAGAGGAATCTTGTGATATCCAGTGGTCTAACGACAGACCATCCCAATCAGTTGGTGTTTTCTAAGGCCCATTCATCCAGACGTAAGTATTTCAGAGCTGTTATATCGATATAATGCAAACTTTGTTGCTGTCGACTCAGTCCGCACTACCACATGCCGCATTTAATGACTGCATAGCTTTTTCAGTGGGGATGTTTTTGGAGAAGGCCAGCGATAAACATAGGAGGCTGATGATCGAACATGACGGAGAATCTGAAGTGGCCTCTCCATTGTATGAGGTACAATTTTCGTTTGGTTTCCATCAAAAAAGTTAATAAATAGCCTTCACAGGACCCTGATCATGGTGGCGCTCGCTCTCCATTTACTGTCTCGCAGTATTCTCGACAATCATCGCAAAGGTACGCACCGCAAAAGCGACCTATGCCGGCCTCGAGCATGGATTCTTACCTAGGATCTCCGGCACAGGTGAAAATTTCTTGAATATATTGGTGGAGCAAACATTCATTCTTCACCGTCACGCGGTTGTGTACAGTCGAGTAAAGTTTCAGCTTAATGTAGTGTGCTTGCACTGTAGGTTAAACGTGGTAGTTGTACGCGAAGAAATAGCTACGCCTGGTGATGCCTTCCAATTGCGCGCGCAGAGCCGATATTACTGGCGTGGCTAATTGTTTAGGGAACGGCCATAGGTTGTCGGGTTGTCGATGTTGTCGGAGTTGCCGAGGTTGCCGGTCGTCGTAGGACCTCATGATAGCCTACACGTTTCGCGCGCTCTCTAAACTGTCTCTGACCTCGCAACCCCGACAACACTGACAACACCGACAACCTATGGCCGTTCCCTTATGCGCAAATTTTACCGCATCTCACCTACACTGCAAGCACACTATAATTAAGCGGAAGATCTACTCGACTGAATAAACACAGCGCCCATGCCCTTTGTGTATGAGGCAACAAGCGCAGCCAATCCGGTTAGGACAGTGGCCCCACGTAAATTCTTAACATTTGTGTCATCTCTTCCTTTGGAAATAAGTTTGCTCGTTTGCAGAAGCTGCCGCATAAAAATTTTGGAATCAAAACCATTGTCAGGAAAAATCAAGGTTAAAAATGAGGTAATGACGACCAGCTGCGTAAACAACGGAAGTCAGTTCCTCCTGCAGATTAGACCGCGTCTTTGGCGCTCATGAACCTGCGAACACAGGAGCTGATTTGTCTACTTTACATAAGCGCTCGGGATGCAGGATTGAACTGCGATTTCCTTCAGGAATGGTCGAAAGTAGACACAGTTTTTCCTGTTTGAATAGTTCATCCATAAACTTTTTATTCCTTATGATTTCCTTGGTGAATTGTGAGACAAATTCAAATGTACTTTTCAAATCGAGAAGGCGAAAAACACCATCTTATATTTCGCACTACTGGTGAACTTCAACAATGTATGCATAGGCTAGTAGTAGATTTAGCGGTAAGTACAGTGCCGACTTGCGATAACAGCATGGAATTGCCTATCCAAACTTGAAATATGCGCTCTGTGGCCATTTTGCATGCCCAAATCGCCTAAAGTGACATTCAACCTAGTTTAAGCGAAAACTGGAATGGCGGGCCATACTTAATCCGCTTGATCTATTTCGCTCCATCTACTTCGCTATTAGTCAAATCAGTAAACTAACCAATAGCGAAGTGATCAAGCGGATCAAGTGGAACATCCGCTTCGCTATTGGCCAGTTCAGTGATTTGTCGAAGTGGATGAAGTGGACAAAGATCAAATATGGCGTGGAATGTTTCGTCTACTTCGGGATGAAACAGATTTTATTAGCACAGCTATTTGCTCAGATTGAAGTGATAAACAGATTTGATTTCGGATAAGCTGTCGCGGATTGGACCCCCAGCTTCCCACGTCAGTGGATACGGCTAGCCTGCATCGGCGTATGGGAGCTGCGGATCTTCTCCGAAGGGTCCAACGTCACTTGGGGCGGTAGTCAAGCTTGCACTGAATGCCGTTGTGCCTGCCACACGATATGCGTCAAACTCTTAGAGGCCCTGAGCTACCAGCTTACCTAGCTAAGTTTGTAGCCTAAGGCGCTGACTCTGTTCTCACTATCGCCAACCGGGGCCATAACAATTGGGCATTAGCTAGCATCGTGCCAGTCTTCAGACGGATCTAACGGATCTAGACTATATATGATGACAACCTATACATAACACGATATTACTCGGGGCCACAATCGAGCTGGGGCTCACCGCACCAATCAATAATCACAGGCTATCGAATACCCACCATTTATCTTCATCACATACTCAAACACAAGGGGAGAGTACAACCAGCCAGACATCAAAATCTAGGGGACAGTAAATCGGAAACCCCCGAGGCGGTTTCGTCGACATGTGTCAGGCGCGAGGGCACCCGGAATTACCTCGTCTGCTGAGTGGGCAATCCCCCATGGCACGGTTGATGTAGACGTACGCGTGAGTTGGGGAAGGCGCTGCATCGATCGACTGGTGAAGATGGAACTTGGAGCGACCGCTCACTAGGTGACACTGTGACGACTATGTGACTAATTTGAAAGCTGCGGCAGATATAGCGGTGAGAAGGGGGGACAGCGCGAGGATGGCGTTTTGGGACCCTTTACAGCGGTCGGCGGACTCCCCCAAAGAAATCGCGAATCCGCTACATAAGGGATCGTTCAGACCGCGCACAAAGGCGCCGTAACTACCGTACTAAAGCGCAGCGATTTGCCGGCGAAGTACCATATTGGAATACGCGTGAAATACAGCGCGCGTTTGCGCGTATTGTCCCCTCCACAGATCGTGCTAGGTACTTTTGGTCTGCGTCTCACAAGGGAACGATCCCAACTTAAGGTGGCGAATTGGAATAAACCACATACCATTGGATGCGTCTTGATGAGCTGATTTCAAATCTACCTTCAGTATCTGCGACAACGTTATTTGGAAGAAGTTATGAAAGGTTGAAAATGTGAAGTAACGGGGGTTTTGATGCATAATTTGCTTTAAAATCCAACTTGGAAGTGCACGACTAGCATCATATTGAGTGTACTGATTTCACGGAATGCTCACATTCAAAAGAAACGCAAATAAATGTTCTTGAACAGCTAGAAAGCAATTAAAGTTCTTTGGTAAAGGCTATGAGCAATGAAAAGTCCAAATTTGGGAAATATACAGGGCAATACCTCGAAAATCAGTTGTTCAAAAACGCTTATTTGTGTTTCTTTAGAGTGTGAGCATTCCTAGAAATCAGTACACTCAAAATCATGCTAGTCATACACTCCCAAGTTGGATTTTGAAGCGAATTATGCACTAAAACTCCCGTTACTTCACATTTTTAACCTTTCATAACTTCATCCAAATAACGTTGTCGCAGATATGAAAGGCAGATTTGCAATCAGCTAATCAAGAGGCATCTAATGATATGCGGTTCACTCCAATTCGCCACCTTAAGTTGGGATCGTTCCCTTGTCAGACCTGCCGCTTGTGGCTAACATGTTGGCAACGTGACAACAACATGTTTGTAACATGCCCCAACATGTTGGCAGAACATTTTGGCCACGCCAACATGTTGCTGCATGTTGCCAACGTGTTGCTGCCAACGTTGCCAATATGTTAGTCACACGTGGCACGTCCGCGACGCCACAGGGGTAGCACGATCTGTGGAGGGGACGACATGTTAGTACAAGTAGCTCAACGCACAACGCGCGCTGTATTTCACGCATATTCCAATATGGCACTTAGCCGGCAAATCCCTGCGCTTTGGCAGTTCCGGCGCCTTCGTGCGCCTTTGCGCGCTTTCGTGCGCCTTTGTGCGCCTTTGTGCGCGGTCTGAACGATCCCTAAGCTGCCGAAAATTTTGGCTTGTCTGCCGTTGGAAACGCGATTTGCTTTTCGCATAGCGCCTGCGAACCGTCAAAAGTAACGTACAAAATAATTATATTATTGCTCAGTGCCTCAATATGTCAACAAGAGCAGACATCCCAAATAATAGAAAGCTTGCGAGATCCTTATCATTACAATTTCATGGTGGGATTTACGAAGCACTAGGTTTCAAAGTTATATGTGGAATGAATGTTTTACCGATAATGTTGCATGCCAGGAAGGTTGTGGTGGAGTCGAGAGTTTCTAATCCAGCTTAGAAGCCATTACCACTGGGTACTCTTATACCTTTCATCACAGTCATCAGCGCTGTAGGCAGACTCGTAGACGAGAAATTCCATTTAGTTGGAGTGATCTGGTTTGAAACGATTTCAAAAAAAGTTCAGAGAGAATGATTATAAAGATGGTAAACAAGTGAATCTGTGTAGAGCTGCCGGGAAACGGTCAAGAGGCGCGATTTCTCCGGCTGTCACTAACTTAAAACTCCAGTTTAGTGCTACGCGAGTCTTCAAAAGGTACCAGAAAAAGTGCACGAGCTTACTACCTGTGTGAGGTTACCACTTGCGGAGTTTGGTGGCTTTTGCTGAAAAACGGACCGAAATATTTATAAATCTGTTCTTAACTGCTTTTCATGGGTTTTTGACCTTAAAAATTGCTTTTCTGAACCGATTCCAAGGTATTAAGATTGAACAACTCATGTAACTATCTAATACTTCTCCTCTTAAAATTTGACTATTTCTAGAAAGTCATAAAACACTTATTATGTGATATTTGGTGTCCATCTGGCAATAAAAATCGCGCCTCTTGACATGCACCCAGAGCTAGACAACAGCGATTATTTATGGGGGCAGGACGAGAATTTAGGGATCGGTCATGTGGGTCTTTGTACTGCACGTCTACCTAGTAGATGATGAATAATGGCGGTTCTGGCCCGCATCGATGCCGCTAAATTCATTTGGATAGTTGAAACAATTGAAATTGAAACAGGACAGAAAAATTCAAAAACCAATTTGAAAGTTCTTTTTATGCCTGGCTTCTGCAGTTAGTTTCGTTATTTTTGTGGAGACGTAGCACTTCGAATAATCAAGATGATTTTAGAAGGATTCAAAAGTCTTTTAGCTTGAGCGAGCAACTATTGGTTTAGGATATGAAGCTTGCAAAATTCTGTGAAGCCTAAAATCTAAAATCCATGGATAAGACTTCAAATGAATTTAGTTATACAGGCTTTAATTTTTTGGCTATTTTTTGGAACAGTATTACTTCTGCCAGGGAGGGGAGGGGGAGGGGGGAGGGTGCGAAGAAGGTACGTGACATTAGCTTCTATTATTCCCTTCGCCCCCTTTCCATTCGAAAAAAATTTACTGTAGTGAGGTGTGGTGCAGCACATGCAGTATATTTTCTAATCAGAAAACGAAATATGGCGCAGCAGCTTCGTTTAGCCTCATTGTATGCAAGCAACTTATTTTCAGAGCTCGCCAGACATCAGAGATGCTGATTCTACTTCATCTCGGTCATCGAGCAAAAAACCAAAGATTGATCTGTCTCGAATGCCAGATATTATAGACAAGTTGTATAGTAATAAGTAAACTTTTGCATGTATGCTTTTGCCAGCAAATGCTCCGCCCCATTATTTTCCTCCCATTCTCCCCTTATTCTTTGACCATTCACATCCTTTGTCCTTACCTTTCTTTATAGGAATCCTTTTAGTGGAAGTGCTGATTGAGATTCGATTTCTGAACTCACTTTATGACTCATCTTATTTGATGTTTTTTCCAGATATCATTTGATGATTGTTGGCTTATGTGCTCACCTTACCGTTTCATTTGAGTTTTTATATCAGCCTAAGGTACTACATGTTCAAAGCTATGTCTTTCCCTAATTATACCCTGTCCAGTACATTTTCCTTGCGTTACCGGTGTTTTGGGTTCTATCTGCTAATGAGGTCCTGTTCATTTATGTTTTTCTATATAACAAATTGGCGTGTATATTATCTCACTAGAAGTTTTACATTAAAGATGCCTCTCATCCATATGTAGACAAGACCATTGATAAGTGGTCTGCTTTTGAAAATAAACTCTTCTCAGGGTATAATTTCGTTCATGGGTGTCGGATTTAATAGACTATCCATGATTTTGCGAGTGTTGTTTTTTGTCTACTTATGCATATAATAAAAATTGCTATACCTTTGAATTTTTTGACGTCCCCCGGGTTTGATCCGTCATGGATTTTTACTGTTTCTCTGAGTCCTTCCACGCAGACAGGTATCATTGCGATAGTTGAGTCTTTTGTTCAAAGGCGGAATTCTACTTTCAAAATTGACTTATAGTTACGAAAAAAGATGACGGTTCTTCTCCGTCGGATGCTTTTATCACAGTGCCAGCTTCCAAGATTTTTCTGCACACCTTCGAATTCATCTGTTGAAGAAAGGTAGCGCCTTAGTTCAGATGAATCTGTGTTCTGTAGCACTTTTTTGAGTTTGCAGATACGACCATCTGATGCGTGAAGCGCTCTCAGACACTGGAACTATAGCTGAGAACTGGAGTACAGGAAGCACAAAGCAGGCTCATGATTTCATGGTCGTTCATCCGAAGGTGAGTTTCGATCGACAGCTACTTGAGGTCATAAATCCAATTCAACATCATTAGTTTTTCATCAGTAATCATTTTTTATGATTTTTTATGAAGTTGAAATAGTTTGGTAGGGGAAAAAACATCCAGTATAGGTAGGTAGCCAGAGTAAGCGAATATTTTGTTCAAGTTGGGGTCCCGCGCAGAACTGGCGTTACTAATCATTGTGGCACAACGCCAAGTTGGCATTATGCCACAATGATTAGTGATGCCACTGCGCGGGACCCCAACTTGAACAAAATATTCGCTTACTCTGGCACCTACCATAGCTTCCACCACTTCTTTTTTGAGATTTATGGGTGCAAGCTGGTGGTGCGGTGGTGGCCGAAGGTTTTTTGGGATGCTCCTCAAAATTTCTGAGGGCTCATCACCCCGAAAAATCCATGCTTTCGAAATTTTTTTTACAAGGCTAATTTGAATTTTTGAAGATTTTTAGTAGGATTCTAATTGTTTACAAGTATAAGCAAGTCACCTGCAGATCTTTATGACACATGTAATTAACTTTCGGAAATTTGCGACATATTGGGGCGGAGGGGCGGGGCATTCCCCTGCTGCGCCCCTTCCCCTCCCGTTCCCGGTTACTATTTTGTATTGTAAAAGATTGTTATGCTTTTCGTGGGTATGCGAAGGTTGTTTGCAGCATGTCTCTATCAGCCCTCTATGCATCCCTTTACAGAATTCAAAAATGGGGAAGTCAGGGTTTTTGAGAAGCGATACCGCTGTATTCTCGTGCACTTGCATTTGGATTCGTGAAAGTGTTCCGAATTACAAATAGAATTTTTCTGTCGCTTTTCACAGTCAAGACCCCATTTCAGGTGCGGTGGGGTTCATCTTCTGCTTCGAAGTTAAGGGATCCACAAAAGCAACTCGACGAGGCTGTCACCTTGGTAAATACTTTACCAGGGTTCCGAGTTGTGGAGTGAGTTAGCTGTCACCATAATCTTGCATTGTTGCATTTTTTTCTCATATTTGCTAGCAGTCCTGATTAATGCATGAGAAAACAAGTACGGCAGATGCCAAAGTTCTGATACCTCTCTTGTAGGTCGACTGTGATGGGTGTCGACTATAACACGAAACGCAAGACAGTCTGGGGAAGAGGGCAGATCGAGACGCTTCTGAGAAAAAAGATGCAGTCACGAGTAAGTGCGCTGATGGTCAATGTGGACATGCTCACTCCAGTCCAACAGGCACGTGTGCTTGCCCCGTTTTCAATGTCTCATCAATAAAGCCCTTTTCAGCAAGCACTGTTCAACCTTTTTCACGTTCCTATCTATGACCGCTACAACATAGTGTTATCGATTTTCAAGCATTATGCGAGAACCGAAGAAGCTTGGCTGCAGATTCAGCTTGCGGAAATTCCCTATATCAGGTTCTTTAATTTGTGTGTACTCTTTTGATTACTTCATAGTATAAGAGGTGGAAGAAAATTATGATTTCTACATTTTCAAGCCGTTCTTCTTTTTCTTCAGCTATTTATGACGTCTATCTTTGATATTTGAAAATGAGGCGCTAATCAACATTTTTTTGATCGAGTTTTTTTTCCAAGACATCAAATGTTTGTTTTAGAAGCCGGCTGCACCATTTGAATAAGTTTCGCTCCGATCCAGCTACACTACATGTGGAGCGGCAGCCTGAGCGGGCCAGGTAAATTCCTTTCAGTAAATTTTGTTGTTATTCGTAACATTCTATCATACCTGCAAAGCTCTTTCTTTTATCCACATAAATTTGAACATTTTTTTTCTGTTTTCGTTTTTCACTGAGATTACCTTTCCTCTCAGTAACCTGATATTCAGTGTAGATGAATTCGAAGTACTACGATTACGAGAGCAAACTTTACGGAAGAAGTTGCAACAGGTTATCGAGAAAAATGTGGACAAAGTGACTGAAGACACTAGAGATGCTGCCATGGTCGCTGTTGTAGGGTTAGTTTTTGTAAACCGCTTTGAGATTTTTTCAGCTTATCCTTTTAAGAGAGTGATAGCTGGAGAGAATAAAGTGTTTAGGTTGTTATGAGTTGCAAATGGCGATGTCGCCTCCCAAAATTTTGAGTTTATTGTGTTACAAAAGTCTCCCCCCCCCTTGTATTCGCTGGTAATAGCTCGGGTCCTCAGGGTATGCCCGTGCATGCTTACGCATTGAAAGGAAATTCCCTCATTATCAGAGCAGATGTCTAACCCTTCTTCGTAAGGGTGTTATACATGGAAGAAAAAATGTTGAGTTCTTGGAGTCTTATCAGGTCACAACAGATTGGGCCGTGTGAGAATCGTAATTGACGTCCTCGTATTTCAGATATACAAATGCTGGTAAGACGAGCCTTGTGAAATGCCTCACTGGTGCTGCCAGTCTGCTGCCAAAGGACAGGTTGTTTGCCACCCTTGACACAACTCGGCACCCAGCAAGGTGAGAACTTTTGAAACCTTTCGTTCAATTAGTTGGGTATCGAACTGGATCTATTAGGCACCCATCAAACTACATCAAAAGCCCTTAAACGCGCCCGAAAACGCTTTTTTCGACTTCTCATCGCATTTCTTAGTCCTATTCAGACAGACCTCCGCCATAGCACTTTCGTGCCAAGGGCCGTGAACGGGACGTGGACGTGATGGCGCTTTTGGGTTGGCGCTGAACCTATGTGATACGAGCTGAGAACTGTGATGTATAGAAATTTGAACGCTTTTGGGGGTTTGAGCGAAGTCTGCTTTAGGTGTAACCCTGACCACCCGTTTCTTCTCAGCTTTCAAGATTTTTTGTGTCTAAACAAATTTGCTCATGTTCATTTCAAGAGGTAAGAAAAGTCGTCCAAAGTCGTCCCTTTGTAGCAATATTCACGACTTCTTTTCTGTATGGGCTAATCACACATCGAGGCTTCAGAAGTTGATTTTTGAATTTGACTTTTAGGGTTTGCAAAAAATTTAAAATTCGACATTAAAATTCTAAAGTTGGGTCAGCTATATATGTTTCAAACTTTGTTTCTCAAGAGACTGTGTTTTAGTCGATTACGTTCAAGAAAATTCTAAAATTCCAAATAATATAACGGAGCGAGAAGTTATTTCTATGTCATAAATTGCAAGTCAATCTTCTTGACGTTTTTGTGGTTATCTTACAATTGATTTGATTATTCTTACATTTCTAAATTTTCTTTTATTTATTTTTCTTCTTTCCTATCTTTTTTTTGTTAAACAAGAAGAGCGAATCATGAAAGTCGTGATACTTGCAGTGCCAGTTTTTTCGGGTGGCGGTCAAGAATAACGATAGCTCTGCCAGCCGCTAGCTGCCAGCTGCTCGCGCGCGCAGAACAACCCGCCTTCGTTCATTTATGAAATCGGAAAAATGATCTAAACTTCAGTTCTTTTCATTGAAGTTCGTTTCCTACGTTAATCATTAAAGCTTAAATAATTCGCATGCTGAATTGGGCACAAAAACAAAACATTACTATCGCGAATTTATGGCGATGTGATTACTGATTATTTCCATCCTTAAAAAATAGCAGAAGTCTTATCGTAAAGTTTATATGAAGAAGCACAACGCTTCGGGCATTTACTGCTCCAAAATGTGGTGCCTGCGTAAACTCGTCCGCTGCTAGGGAGATGCTACTTGTACACCGTTTATTGACACCCGGCCACTCAGGGTACCACTATTGCCAGCTATCGTTATTCTTGACATATACCCAGTTTTTTCCCCAGATTTTTGGCGGCTAACTTAGAGAAAATGTAACTTTTCATGTATGATCAAAGTTAATCAAATGCAAAGGATGGCACGAGCTTAGAAATTTTGAAAAATATGTGGCAGAACTTGGAGCAACGTAAACTCGATGGCATTTGTTTGAATTGATTTAGGCTTCCATCAGGGCGAAAAGTGGTTTTCACTGATACGATTGGCTTTCTCAGCGATCTTCCTATGCATTTGCTTGCAGCTTTTCAAGCAACTCTTTCGCATGTCAGCTTAGCGGTAAGCGCCTCGAAGTTTTTCTTTGGGTATTGGCAACTTTCCAGTTTAGGATGTTATTATACACATTCGCGACGTTTCCAATCCCGACTGGCCAGCGCAAAGCGAAGACGTAGAAAAAACTCTGGAAAATATCGGTTTGTCGCGAGCCAGCATTGGAGACATAATCATAGCTGATAATAAGGTTTGTGAGTACAGTACACCATTTTAGGGTCCTAAAGTGTTTATGTGGAAGCGGGGGGGGGGGGAGTGTAATAATTTTTTTGGGTGTTGCAAGTTTTGAGTGTGAATTTATGTATGCGAAAAGATTGCTACAAGGCTATTTCAATTTTGAAATTTTTGAGAATCTTTTTTTTTGCGAGTGAAGGCATGTCTCCTGCGTATTTCTACCACTCATATAGGTTTTCATTGGTTTCGCAGCCCATTCTCGGTCCACCAATGTCGTGAATGCAAGTTGTTCAAAAAATTTTGCTAAAATCTCAGCTTGCGATGTACCTTTTTTCCTGATTTCGCCGCTTAGCCAATTTCAGAAAAAATTGAAAAAATGCGGTTCAAAGGAATCTTCGTCTTTGCGTTAAAAAGTGCAAACTGTTACCCCAGATCTTTTTTTCCTCTTGAACTCTTTAAAGGGAAAAAAATAAATAAAGTGCTTGAAAGCTTGATTTTTTTGTTTTGAAGGTAGCATATCTTCGCGCTTACCATTTCTCAAAAATGTCTTTACTAAAGCGTCAGAAGATGTATATTGAAAGTAGAAGTTCTGAAAAAATTTTTTCCTACTGTTTTCTGGTACATTCGTGTCCACACGTTTACTGTCAAAAGTTGGAGTACAAAAAAATTATTTCAACAAATTTGGATTAGCGATTTGTTAGTCAGACTCGATAAAGAATCGAGTTGGACTTAGATCAGGGCCCGGCACAAGGTGGGCAAACGGGGTTTTCCAAAACGAATTCCCCTCTGATCCCAATAGTTTGACGAATACCCCCTTGAGCCCAAAAATGACGCTTTGCGCTTGTGCAACGAGAGCACCGGCCACACTTCGCCTAAAAGCGCTCAAAAGCGCCCAAAATGCTCAAATTCCTCTAATTACTCCTCACCTGTATCAAGATAGAAAACAGGAAGAAGAATAAGTAAGAAAAATGATGAAGGAAAGAAAAAATATCAAAGTAACGCAGTCATAGGAGTGAGAGTTGCCGTTCCCGAGCGTATCGATTGACTGGGGCGCGCTTTCCATCTTAAAAAGCAAGGCTGCTGATGCGATTTTGGGCTCTAACAAAGAAAGAGGAGGAGTTTCGGAACCAAAACCTCACCATACAGTAAATTTGGTGCACAACAGATTTATGCAAAAATTTTGAAAAAATTATGTGAATTGAAACTTTTGCCCACCTCGGGTGGGCATTAAGTGGGCAATTGCCCACCTAATTTGGAAAAAAGTTGAGCACGCCCTTTATTCACATAAGATTTTCAGGATTTTACACACTTTGTTCCCTAGTCCTACTGCGCGTATACACAGCGGATGTCGCGCGATTTCGTCATCTCTGCATTGCAAACGAGCCATTTTTCCATTTTCTTGATAGTGGGAAATTTTCAGAAAAAAGCTTGCCACAACCTCCATTCACATAATTATGTAATGAAACTTCTAAGATAAGCCCTGCAGGCCCGTGTTCATGTACCTACCAAATTTCGTATCGTACGGTCATCTGTGCGCTGCAAACGAGCCATTTGAATTCACATCTTCATTTACCAGTTTTGCAAATTTTTTGGAAAAAATGCTTATTACTCCTCCCATTCACATAAGTTTTTCATAATATTTCATACTTTGTTTCTACTAGCCTCTCTTCGTTCGCTTACATAATTTGGTGCTATATCGTTACGCCTGCATTGAGAACTGATCATGTAGTCATGCTGTTCAACGGCATCGCTCATGCGACATCGCGCACGCGGCAATTAGCGGCAACGCGGCGTAGCGAGCGAACTCTGCTGTGTGTTGAGGTTTATGAAAACTATTTCCAATGAATTAGATGTATAAGGTAAGCATTTCGACCTTCTTTTGCTTGGACTTGGAATCTTCTTCCGGGGCTCCGCCCGGATCCCGCAAAAACGATATCCCCTTTTTTTTGTCCCCAAAACGATTTCCAGCTTGTCATTTGCCCACCTCGTGCCAGGCCCTGACTTAGATATGGCCTTCTGAGGGGCCCTCTAACAGAATACATAGAGATTCCACTATCTAAATTTTGGTGAAACACTGACTCTACGTCTGCCATGACACGACACTCACTACCCAGCAGTGGCGTACTTAGGATTTCGGCTCGGGGGGGGGGGGGGGGGAGGGGGCGCGACAAAAATGCCACGCACTCCGAAAATTTTTTGGGATGTTTCCCAAAATTTTTCCGGGCCCCTGACCCCAAAATTTCAGAAAAAGGGGCGTGGCGGTAGCCACGCCCCCGAAAAAAATTCTTTTATAAGGCTAATTTGAAATTTTTAAATTTTTAGAAATTATTTTAATTATTTACAAATAAAAACGAGTCCTCTGGCACATTTTATAACACATTTAAGTAACTTTCAAAAATTTCGCGACCCATTCTCGGGGGGGGGGGGGGGGGGGCGCGCGCCCCCCCCCCCCCCCCCCGCCCCCCCCCTCGGTACGCCACTGCTACCCAGCTTTTTCTACAACAGTTTATTTTTATTGAAAGCAGGTTTAAGAACATGGCTATCGAGAAGAGAAAGAAACGCACATGATTTTCGTGCAACCGTTTTCTTATAGAATTAATGATGTAGGAAGGGAAGGAATAAATTAAATTAATAAAATTTATTTAGATTGACGTTGAAGGAGCTGCAGTGTCATCCACACCAGGTGCCATAAGAATATCCTGCAAAACATCTGAGGGTGTAGATGAATTGATTGCGAAAGTTGATGAGGTACGTGCAAAAATAATCAAGTTGGGCATTTGTTTTCTCCACGGGCGGTCATCACTGCTGAAGAATTCTCAATTGCTTGAATGCACAAAAAATTGAGGATTTAGTCCTTGAGTTTAGTCGAGCTTGCCAAGTTTGGTCCGAGTCAGACAATCTCCTTAACCGTATACTTCCAGAAAGTTCTACGATCCACGGGTTGCAAACAAAGGCGATTAAGACTCAAGTATTCATCTCCTGCGATACCTTATTTGTACAAGTGAGTAATACTCAGTACGATAACATGAGGATGAACTAAACGTTTGATAATAGTGGAAAGTTTCAGAGAAGGATTTGTGTCCAAAGAGCCGGCAACTACTGACTCACATCTTGTTTTCGATGTATTCATGAATGACGCCGAATTCGCAAGGTTTCAAAAAGCGACGGGTAATCTGAAAAGAAAAGCGCAGTGAGCTGAGCTTTTTTGTTTGGATATACTTATGGTGCAGTACGGAGTAGTTTTGATAGTTTCATAGGGGACCTTTGTTAATTTTTTTCCTTTGCTGAATGATATGCTTAAGTTCGGCGGGTGTACAGTGCAAAAATAGCACGTAATAATAATTGATGAAATTGTTGTAAATTGCTTGGAACAGTGCTCTATAGTTGCTGCATTAGGTTTCTCTAGTGTTTTTGTCCGTTTTCTGATATGCGTTCGTTATCTTTTTGAAAATCTTCAGTGTTTAATTTCACAAATTATGCATGTTTTCTTTGATGGCACAACATTGGTTATTGCAACCATAATGCTTCAGCTTTCATTTTTTAAATCTAGGCTAGCTGACCGCCATGCTGGGTCTCTTCGAAAACTTGATATAACCCAACATTCCGTCCTACTTTTGAACAAATTACTTATTCCACTTTTATATGCCAGTTTTTACCGCTCATAAGTACCATACCCATACGTTTCAACACCCTGGTCGCTTATCCCTCCTCCCTGTACCAACTCTCAACACACCAGCCTAAGTTAGCAGGAAAGTTTTGAGACTGATAAATGTATTGTCTATCTTCAAGTATGTAATCAGCAATTAGCAATTAGCAATTAGTTCTGTATTTGGCATGCTCACTTATCACCTTATGCTGGACTCCCTTTCGCGCAAATCCGCAAAATTGGTAGAACCACTCAAAGTTGCGGGTTTTTTCTCAGTCAGTGTCACTTTTGTTAACACAGGCTCACATATTTTCCTGTGCCATCCTGAGCACCCCGGCTTAGTGTTTGCAAAATCGCGAAATTAACAAAGCAATTGATTAATTCGGATTTGGATAGCGTAATCATGATCACTATGCTCGCATACCTCTCCCTCCCCGTCCCCCTTATACCAACTCAATTACCTAGGTCAGAGCTGAAAAACCAATAAGTTGGTAATGAAAAGTTGCCTATAAAACCCGCCTTATGGCGAAGTATATGAAAGCAAGGCTTGGTCTGGATCGGTTGGAGAATATAACCTGTTGTTCGTCGGCTACACGCACGCATTCAGGGACTGTGTCCCGGTGTGCTTCTCGTGCTAGCACTATGATTTGGATTTCGGTGACTGTGGGACTCGAAACTGTTGCCACGCGAGACTTACACGCAGCACGGTTGAGCAACCTTAAACTGGGGTACTTAAACTTTAAACTTTACGGATGATCATTTGCAGTTCCCGCTGATAATTTGGAACAGTCTTCTCAAGTTTTCTTTGGTGATTCCGTAATCGTCCCACTGTCTGGTAGTGGGCAAAGTCCGGATGATAGTAAGCGGTATTACGGCCGATATTCTTACAAAAGAAGCATGATGTGTGTTTTTGGCATGCGTTCAGGTGACGTTCTAGACAGCGATGACAGCATTCTTCATTGTCTCAGATGGTTACTCGGTATGTGATTGAGGTCATTCTCGGGCATCCATCTGAGTAATGCTGTCTATACTCCTTGCAAAAGATACATATGATGGTGGCTTATCTTCAACCTTCCGTCACCTATTTGTCGTGCCGGGCACGAAATCTTCGTCAGCTCCGTCTGTATTCCTTCAATTTCCTTATAGTTAACCAAATCCTGATAGTTAGCCATAAGTTTCTCATAACGCCAACGTTGATCTGTGGTCTTCTGTTCTGAATGCTTCCATTTTTGGCCTTCTGTGTGATCGTAATGTCCTCTGCGATCGCTGAAGCTATCCTTCCTTGCTCTACTGCTGTCTGTGGATTGAGAGCGTCTGTGCTCTTCTCGACATCGATCTTCTAGCGATACCTTGTCTCTGCGGCGTCTAGGTCTTGCTTTCGAAATCTCATCCGTCGGCTGCCTCTGCACGCTTCTTCCCTGGGAGCACCGCGTTCAGCAACTGCTGCGTTAGGCAGAACATCTTTTGCTGTACTTGTCCAAGATGTGTATCGAGTTCTTCCTTTATGTCTTTGATACACTCCTCTCGTTCCATCGCCATTTGTTTTGTCGCCTAGTTGTACGCCTCCTCGATCCATTTCCAAGTGTGATCATGTTTTGGCAGAACTCTTTTGAGTGTAAGCTGTGAGGTTGCATCCTCGAGTTTCCTCATGTCTCTACCATTTGGTTCGGTCACTTCCACTTGGTGCTGTCCTCTTTGGCGAGCCACTCCTCCGTGAAGGCTGTGAGAGTTTGTTGAATTTCTTGACAGGCCCGCATTCTCGCCCCCCTGCTCCTGGTGGTTTCTTTCTTGACATCATGCAATTCTCGTCGTGCGGGAGCGCCTCCACCCTACGATAGGTTTGGACGACGTCTCACTTCCTCCTCCATGTAAGTGTGAGAAACGGCTTTCAGCAGTGGGTAGCCTCGGTCTGTGGGTCTCGCGGGCTTCATGGTGACGTTTTGTCCAATCCATCCAGATATATCAAGCGATCAGTTTCCTGCGCATCGCCCACCGCAACCAGGATCTCATTCCACTCATGGCCCAGATAAAATTGGTCCATCCAGTGGCTCAGCTCTCTCAACTCGTCTAAATGCTTGCTCATGTCCTTTAGCTTCAGCTTTAATAGATTGACTTCTTGACAGTGTAAATCATCTCCCAGCGGTTTCCTTTCAGCTCGAGGTAAACCAGCTTCGCTTGCTCTAGACGGTCTTCGAACTCGTGGCATCTGTCGCCGAATTCCCTGATTCTCTGCTGTAGCGCCACTGTGGGTTTCGCCGGTGACTGTTCGACAATGGTTACTTTCCGCTCGATCTCCTCTCGGAGTCTTCTTTCCAGTTCTGTGAAGAAAGCTGCCATTTTCCTGTGAAGAGAAAACATTAGAGGCAAACGACCATGGGTTCAACTAACTCTTCCCCTATGTCCCTCTTGCGCGGTAGATCTCGACCTGGCGAGCAGTGCCATTCAATCTGCAAGAGAGTCGTTAAACATGCAATCGACCCATCACCAGTGTGCCTTACGGCCTCAGCAGACAAGTTGGCTTTGTTTGAGCTTCTGTGACTCTCTAGTCTTGTGATCTATCCCTGGCTTATGTCTTTATGAGCCGGTGGTGATTATTTCGGGTGTTCAAAAACTTATCACTGGTTGTCGTCTCCGTGAAGGCATGCGCAGTACTCGCCGGTGTGTTCGGCTATGTTTTTTCTCGCCGATCTGCGCTGACTGCTATTCGCATTGGTATTACGATTATTATTATTTTTTCTGTATTCGTTGTTTTTTCTGTATTTTATTCATTTATTTATTTAGTTTCAATGGCGACATGTAGGTATGTCCCTTTTATTTTTATTTAATTTATTTTTATTATTTCTTTGTGTCGGCTCTTTGTCCCTTCGGCGACTTTCCATCCTTTCCCCCTTTTTTGCTATAAAATTGTACATAGGAATATTTTTTGGGGGGGGGGGGGGACTGTGAAACTGTAGAGGGAATCGCTCGATGAATCATTCGGCGGCGAATGCTCACGTCGCGATCCTCGATCATTGGACGGGTTCCAAGGGTCTCCAGCCCTTTGGCGAACAAATCCGAATGACGGGCTGTGGGACTGTGAAGGGAATGGGTCGCTTGAACGAATTGTTTGGCGACGAACCTCGCATCATGACGAACCATTGTATATTCCATCTTTCCGCAGGAAACAGAATACAGAAAACATAATGGCCCTTCACTGCTCTTCCAGTGTATGGTCACATAGAAAATTCGACGAAGAACGGCGAGTGAAAAAAAAACTTCTTTTCAAGGCTTCCACACACACGGAAATGACCCTATCGGTGATAGTATGTTGGCAAGAAGAAAAAAATTAAGGTAGTGGCACCGTGCCCAAGCAGGATGTTGACAATAGATACAAATTCCCGGACTCTCGATCCTTTCGCGGTGCTGAATATGATGTCTGTGATGCACTTAGACGCTAGCTGCTCTCCATGTATAGCGAGGCAAGGTGGCTTGAGTTATGAAGAATCGTTGTTTCTTCTGAATAGGAGCCCCTAGGTGATAGTGAAAAGACTCAGCAGATGTGGCCGCATTTGTGAACTTCCGGATTAATGAAGCGAGAGGAATAAATTTCGTCGTCCACTTTGTCAGGTATAAAAGGTTAGCTACTCCCTTTATCCTGATGTGTAGCGGGTTACAAAGTCTTATATAAGATGGATACGGAGTTCCATTGTTTGCGCGACCGAAAGACGACATTTTATCTGAAAAAAAAAACATTTTGTTTGAAAAAAAAAGGCTTAACAAAATATCATAACAAATTCAGGAGCTAAGAAGAGAGCAACCACTCTGAAGCAAGAAAAAATAAGATGTGGATGCCAAATGAGGTCTGGTGCATAATACCCTGCACCAGAACTTTTAATCCTTGACACGCCTACAGTTATGTAACAGGCTTATCCGCATATGCAGCTATAGCTACTCCCTTTATCCTGATGTGTAGCGGGTTACAAAGTCTTATATAAATATTTATTATCTACATAATATACAAGGGTGATGGGGGTAGGGGGGATGGTGGCAACCGGGTGGTGTCGGGGCCACGGGGGTCACTGCTCGGCTCGACTCTCGTCGGCCAGCCTCCGAACAGCTGATGCAGTCCAACTGCATCCCGACATCTCCATTCCTTCGAGAAGCTCGTCCTCGAGCGAGTCAGATTGGTGCGGTTGTTCTTCCGGGTAGCGTGCATAGATGGTTGGACACGCGGTTTACGGCGAGAACATCTTCAACATTGACGATAGGCATATGATTCGAGGATGATGATGTACGTGAGGGTGAGCTACTGAGGATGAGGGATCAGTGAACCATGGAAATGGCTACGACTTCTCCCAGGGCATTGAAGAAGCTCGATGCTTTCTCCCGCTCAAGAGGGTGAACCCGATGGAAAACGTGTTCCGGCAATCCCAGGAGGACGAGCTCCTCCTGGCCTATTTATCCCGGTCAATTGTGGAGAAATCCACCATTGAGATTCAGCGGGATGGTAGAGCGTTCTTGACGCTTCAAATGGTCGACAACACGACCATTAGTGGTAAGTGAAATAAACATTACTTGTTTCTTTTAATGTTTAAATCTTGAGATAGTGGTATTAAAGACGTTCACGTTTAGGTCTAATGGAGCGGAACGACGGAACCCCATACAACTGGGAAGAAATCGACGACGATAATGTTTGGAGAGGGGATAGGGCCGGGATTGAAACTCCAATTAGGGCATATTACCATCATAAACCTAGGAGGATTTCTGCATATGCCTCCGAGGATGGCTGCGCTGCTGAAGCGCAGCGTTGAGAACATCAGCGGCATCTATTTCGTCAACCTTCTAGGGCTCGACACGGTCATCCGGGCTCTGGATGGCGCCAATAAACCGTGGAGGAATATGTAGGTATTTTTGTAAATGTGCCTTCCCATTTAATGTAACTATTTTATTTGATAAAGTTGTTGTTGTTCTGTTCTGGGCAGCTGGTATCAGAAAAGTGGTGTAATACTGTAAGCAATAAATTTCCTATGCCTAATCCTGGGTGTCGTGATTGTAATCTAGACAGCTGTGCAATTATTTCATATATTGTAAGAAAGGTCACCGAGTTTGAGCAGGCGCTAGCATTACTCTCGATTCGGTTGTCAGGTCGCTTTGCTTACACTTAGGCGTTGAGTTATGATTGTTTTGTACGCGCGCGGACAGTTGTCGCAGCAATAAGTTTGATAGGATTAAGGATTAGAGGTCGCCTGGCTGTATTACATAGCGCGGTAGATTGCAAACATGTCTATCTGGCGGATTCCATCCTTCCAGATTGCATGTAAACACTAGTGTGGTAATAGTAGCTACAGTGCGAACAGTCCAGTCCAAAAGATGAGAAAAAAAATATTAATAAAGTATATACATAAGTACAAGTCATAAGACAATGCCTTTAACTGCTCACTAAATAACAACTTCTATGTAAGTATCCCCCAGAGATACTAACACAGGGCGCTACTAAATGATTATGTATAGAAATAGATATTTTAATTGCTTAAGCAAGAGTGTGTCCCACACTCATTAAAAAAAATAGAAAATAATTTGAATTTATGCGGAAATTTCCCTAGAAATAAGAATTATTACATTTGTATTGGTAACAAAAGAAAGTATTGTTTGCATATGGATAGTAATTTTCACTCGCGAGGCATTACTTATATGTTTCGCGCGTCATAATGTCTTGCCGATGGTAATTAGTCGACTATGCAAAACTAGGGCGCAAGGATATTTAGTAATTTATGATTTGATCATCAACAGTATGGTGAATCTATAGAAAGTGAGCGAGCTAATTAATTTAGTTATGTATATGTAATAGTTTTGGGACACTGGGACTGCTCGCAAGGACTTTTGTAGACAATATGTGAACATAATTTATATACACAACGTAAAAAGTTTTTTTTTTCAATTGTTTTGGAACAATGTTCACATTTCTGAAAAAAAATTATAACTATTTCACTATTTTTTTTATGCACTGCAACATTCTGGTAATTACCATATATAAATAAAAATAAACAACTCACACGTCGCAGAGTGACGAAAGGGTAGGCGGGTGGACGAAGGGGGGGGGGTGTAATTTTATTCCCAATAATAAAAAAAATGTAGGAGTGTAAAACAAAAAAAAGAAATCTCCCTGGGACCTCCATGTCAGGTATAAAAGGTTAGCTACTCCCTTTATCCTGATGTGTAGCGGGTTACAAAGTCTTATATATATTTATTATCTACATAATATACAAGGGTGATGGGGGTAGGGGGGATGGTGGCAACCGGGTGGTGTCGGGGCCACGGGGGTCACTGCTCGGCTCGACTCTCGTCGGCCAGCCTCCGAACAGCTGATGCAGTCCAACTGCATCCCGACAACTTCCTGATAAAAAACTTTTTGATATTCCCATCTCTTCTGTGTGCCGTACAATAAAAATTTGTGGGAAAAGTATTGTCTCTTGGAAAAAATGGGGCTGTGTGCTCCATTATAATGTTCAGATCTTCAATCTTCCCAAGGGGACGGGAGAATGTGATTCGTTTCTATTAATGATAAAGTGCTGGAAGGGAATTCCGGCGCTTCTGAGCGTTAATGACTATCATTTGTAATTTTTAATGCTGTGTTCAGCATCTTGACTTATCCCCCCCCCCCTGTATCAAGTCTCATGTGTCAGCCCTCCAGCTCGGCTTTGTCGAATCATCTATAAGTGTATTGACGAAAATCAACCTAGGACGGGGGGGGGCGTAGTGGTATGAGGCCCTGCTAAGACCGGGTCGGACCGAAGTTCGAAGTTTGATTTGCCCCTTGGTCAACATAGTCCTCTTCCATCCGGGAGCTTGGTATCAAAGTAATACGAGAAGAGATTAAATGCACTATTGGTATTGGCCCAGCATATCGTTGTGAAGGCTAACACTTAGTTGTCTCTGCGGCTATGAAGTAGAATGTGCATGCGCGCACAGAGTTCTGCAGAAGCCAAATCCTTTGTCCTTTATCCTTAACTAACCTATGATGTACATCCGCTCTGCTTCGAAGTGCATGCGTACAAAGTTTGATAGAGATCGGTGCAGAGATAGAATTTTTTTATCTCCGAATGTACATATAGACAGCCAAAGAAACACTGATTCCTAAATCTAACTATAAAAAGAAAATGACAGCATTATGGTTGCATGTAAAGATATATTTTGACTGCGAATGATGATGGATTTTGTCTGTATATATGACATGCAGCTTTTATTCATACCATGTATCAGGTATGCTCACATATATTTTATCTACGTTCTCTTGCTTAACTATCGCACGTTATGCTCAGAATAAACGTTTTTTGTTAGAAGTTGTCTAAAAACATGGGTTTCACCAAACTTCATTAGCAAACAATGATCTTCTGCGTTGAGTTTGGTGTCTGTAGAAGGTCATTATCAAAATACACTTGGTCGGCATCAAGTGCCTGGCAGTGATCCAAGCATGGTATGTGCTTACATACCTTTTTTTGTACTAGTGAAAAGCTAAACTTTTTTTTCAGCCAATCTTATCACTCGATCTGAAATGTAACATGGTAGGAGTAACAAAGTTCACTCCTAGCGATCCAGAGACTCATAGATGGTTCCTCAAGGTAAGACGAATACTTATGTGAACTTTTTATTTATCGTCTCAATTACCATCTTTTTTAACGGTAAAGATTTCGAGAATGATGTTTTCGACCTACTATCTGATTTCTTTTTTAGTTCCGATGCATGAACTGCGGTGAGTCACCTGACCATTGGCAATATCTAGTTATCAATGTAGGTTTTTGCAAAAGCGTTTTCATTTGCATCAGCTGTTGGTTTAGGAAGTGCTGGAAGTACCTGGTAGCCGCGGAGAAGCGCATCTGGTAGAGAAGTGCAAACTATGTAACCGAGTCAACACTGTTGGTAGGTCGTTAATAAAATTGTATTATTTTTTACTTTTATTTTGCACTTTTTCATTTTTCGTTATTTGGAGTTCTTTTTTTTAATTTTGATAATGAAGAATTCGTTATATATGTTTTTTGCTTCGTTTTCATCATTGATAATATCTGTCCGTTGAATGGTTCATTTTTCATATTTTGATTCATTTCGTTATACAGTTCTGCGTCACGAATGGCACTCTCCTGTACCATACATGGGAATATTGTTAAAGGCTATGCTTGACGAAGGCGCAGAAGCAGTATCAGTTGAGCGGTCACGAACGCGGCGCGCGCGTATCTACACTGTTGTAAATCCTTCGCCTCATGCGCTCTGCGGCTAATAAAGCCGCGTTTGCGCCCAAAGCTATTGCGCCTTCGTCATGCAGCAGCCTATATCTTTTCAAGTGAGAATTCCTCGATGAAATCAACAGTGCTGTTTGGCCCATCGTGGCTTCCTTCTACTTCGTTGTCAGTTTCGAAATAATTGGGGGACGTTAGACAGTATCTTGAACCTCTTTTTCAGCCATCGTTCCCGATTCCGTTGGCTCGTACGATGCTGCAGAACATAATGAGGAATGGCAGTCCATGTTGCAGTTTGACTGTCGAGGCCTGGAACCATACGATTTTGAACTTCGTAAGGTATCCTTCATTGCTATATAGACGAAAGGAGTTGTATGTGTCTTTAGAACGGCTGGACCGCAGTGGGTATAGAATCCGGCACAGTGTTCGATGACATTGATCTTTCGGAAAAGGTGAGTGGTGCGATGTTTTTTATGGGGAGACCATTTTTTTATATGTTTATGTATTTCCTTTCTTGAGAGCATAGGTGCGATAGTGTGAGAATTTGCTCACCCCCCCTTCACCCTTGAGCCGGAAACCAAGGTGACCCCCTTCACCAAAACCGACAAAAAAAAATCAACAGTGAGGTAAGGTTATGCCTGATAAAATGACCACGCTATCAACCTACTTGTAGGCTCTACAGTCAAGAAGCAAGTGAAGGGCAATCGTGGCATTCTTCCAGCTATGTCCTTAGATTTATAGGCAAAATTGAAAAAATTCAATTAAAAATTCATAACGTTTGTAGATGAACAGCTCGTACAAGGAAATGCTCACCATTGAAACCGTTTCTTCCTCTGCTTTCAGAAAATATATAGATTGTCTGGGATCCGTTGGAAAAAGTCCATGGTGAAGGGTGTGCCTAGTGATTTCTGGAGATTTTCGAGTTTTCAACATAAAAAAATTCATAACTTCTGTAGATGAACAGCTAGTACATGGAGATGCTCACCATTGGAACCGTCTCATTCTCCGCTTTCAGAAAATATATAGATTTTTTGGGATCCGTTGAAAAAAGTCCATGGTGAAGGGGGTGCCTAGTGATTTCTGGAGATTTTCGAGTTTTCAACATAAAAAAATTCATAACTTCCGTAGATGAACAGCTAGTACACGGAGATGCTCACCATTAGAACCGTCTCATTCTCCGCTTTCAGAAAATATATAGTTTGTAAGGGATCCCTTGCAAAAAGTGCCTGGTGAAGGGGGGGGGTGAGAATTTTATAACGGGAGTTCTCAGGTAGACGTCTTTTTACAATGGTGAAAAGGCCTCTGCCTGAGAACTCCCGTTATAAAATTCTCACCCCCCCCCCCTTCACCAGGCACTTTTTGCAAGGGATCCCTTACAAACTATATATTTTCTGAAAGCGGAGAATGAGACGGTTCTAATGGTGAGCATCTCCGTGTACTAGCTGTTCATCTACGGAAGTTATGAATTTTTTTTATGTTGAAAACTCGAAAATCTCCAGAAATCACTAGGCACCCCCTTCACCATGGACTTTTTTCAACGGATCCCAGAAAATCTATATATTTTCTGAAAGCAGAGGAAGAAACGGTTACAATGGTGGCCACCTTCGTGTACTAGCTGTTCATCTACAAAAGTTACATTTTTCTTTTGGAATTTCGTGACTGTCTAAGAATCCTCTTAGTTTTGTCGATGCACACTTGATTTCAATATGCATTTCCACTATGATATTCTTAATTATTGAACACGTTGCAAATTTACTCCGTGTTCCATTTTCGCGGTTCAACTAGATATCCTTTATTTCACCCTCCTTGGTTTCTTTTCAGTTCTTGATTCTAGGATTCCTTTCTTTTGTGAATGTAAGAAGGCACTTAATCATGAACTGCTACTAAAGGCAAGTTGTGAAAGGAACGATGCCGTTCCTGGCGGCGCGTTGTGTGTAATTGCTCACCCACATTCACACACGCACTCACCCCCCCCCCCCCCCAACCCCGCCCCCCCCCCCCCCCACCCCCTCTGACCCCCTTCACCCTGGAGGGGCTGCGACCACCGTGACCCCCTTCACCCTGGAGAAGTCATTTTCACCTTATCGCACCTATGCTTGAGAGACATCGTCTTTCAATGGTTCTCGCTATGATTCGTAATGTAGTTAGCGCCCCAGTCTTTGCTTTTTAGAGAAAAAAACATCTTTTAGGCATGGGCTGACTACGATGAAAAAGCAGGCGAAGCGACGGAGATCAGTGACATTGAAATTCGATTTGTTCATGCAAAGGCTAAAAAATAACTCCCCCTCAACAACGGTGCCACCGAGATACTGGCTTGATCTGACCGGCATATTCCATTGCTTCTTGTGATTTTTTTTTGTGATTTGTGAGGTTTTTTCTCTTGGATAAAAGTGATTTACCGCTGTGCTATTGTTATGAACGGGATAGGCAATTCAAATGTGACATAAGAGTTTTTATACGTAAGCATTTACGTACTGCTGATGTAATTATACAGATGGCTCGCGCACGGAAGTGCCTCCCAGCGCGGTCATCGCCGGCTGACCATACAACGTTAAATAACCACTGACACCTGCCGAGGTCAGAGCTGAGTCAAACATGGTGTTGTTTTTTTTATCGACATGAGGAAGAAAAGAAAATAGAAAAGGGTAGAAAAACGGATAGATTATACTAGGTCGTTACATAAACTTTGCTACCAACAGAAAGAAATCTTTATTACTCCTCAAGAGATTTTTCTTCATTTTCATAATCATGACCAGTTTTGGTTTTCAGTATGAACATTTCAACACATAAGAAATCCAATTCACTGAAAACATCTGAATTATTTTAAGCAGTTTCCAGGCTGTGGTAATGGAGAGTTGAACTTTCAGAATGGCTTCGTATTATATCCATGCTTTCAGAAGTAATCCAAAAAGATAAAGAATTAGAGTCTATCTGCAAGTAAAGAAAAAATGGAGGTGAGAGTTTGAAAATTGCCTTTAATAAATGTCCGTGAATACAAAAATGACGCCTATGAATAGCCCTTCATCCTTTTCATTCGCAAACTGACCTCGGAATTTTAAGGGCGTTACCGGTAAAATTGTAGACGAAATCAGATGAATTTTCTCGGACATTTCGCAAAATGTGATTTCGGAATTTTACTGGCATATGCATCTATGACGTTTCTACACCCGAAATTTTTTTGCAAAGTTGAATCATGCTAATTTATAAAGTTGTTTTACGTCTTCACAAAAAAAACAAGTTGATTTCATAATTCTACGACCCGCGTGGACCACTTTTAATGCTCTTGCTGTTCTTCCAGCGATTTGAATAATAACTAGCAGTCGGTAAGAAAAAAGTGGTTAAAAAGCTTTTATCTGCCACAGTGTAGCGACGATGGTCTAGCAAATGATAAATATTTGCATCCATAGTTTGCATGTCATCGGTTTATTGGCAGTAAAAGGGAGATATCCTTTTTACTTTCTCTTCGTTTTCTTTGAGCCCATTCCTTACCATCTCCTCTCGACAGTTCCATCGCCGGCAAGAAACCGGCTGGTCATGTCGTGTGTCTGCTCGGATGCATGCCTAATGGTGTCGTCGAGCAGGTGGTGCAAAGATGCAAATTGAGCGTAACGCACCGTAAATGACGGTTGGTACGGTATTCGTTATGTATTGTCATGACATGCAATTTATAGAGTCTGTCATTGCGAGATAAGTGGGTTTTGACAGATAGGAGGTGTCCCTACTCTTTCCTTCCCCCTTCGGAAATGTTATCAAGGGGAGGCGTTTTCGAAGAATAAAGGAGTGCAACTTGCTTGCTTTTTCTTTAATAAAAAAGAACTTTTAGTTGTTTAAAAACCTTAAAATCCTATGTATAAAATTTGTAGGCGTGGCACCAAATCGCCTTCGCACAAATCTCCAGCCCCATTTTCAGAAGTAGCTATTTGTGGGTGTGGCTGGCGAAAAAACTCCGGCAAATTTAAGACTGATTTTTTTTTCAATTTGAGCGCGATCAGCACTGTCACTGCAAGTTCCAACCTATTTTTTCGAAAAGTTGGTTACCAGAAGGGCTCGGATGACACTGACCACCACTGAGTATAGACCTTAATTTTCAGAAGAAAAATTGAGGGCTTGGATGACACTTAATTACCGCAAATAGTTTTCGACATTTTTTCAACTCGTGTACGCGATTGGCTCTAATTCACCTCCTTGCATCTTAGTACTCTTTTTTTCAGAAAGCAGATCATCTACTTTGGACGTGGTTGACGTTGGACCAGCTTTGTGTAGAGACCTTATTTTACTAAAAAAATCAATTAGGGCGTGGCTGACTCTGAACATTTGTATGAAGTTCTAGCCACTTTTTTATTTTGAGGGCGAAATTGGCACTCGCTTTTCGCAAATTTTCAACCTTACTTTTTTGGAAAGTTGATCCCTTTATCTGTGGGCGTGGCTGTTACTAAAATCGTGAAGTTCCAGCCTTTCTATATTTTGACCCCAGTTTTTTCATGAATAATTCTTTTCATTAGTGCAAACCCACATTTTAGAAAATTTTATTAGAAGGATTGGTAGGGTCGCATAAATGAAGGAATAAACGAGTTGCATTTTGTTAAGATCAACATAAGGTAAAAGTTAATTTCGGAATAGATTTCCTTACAAATTTTTATGAATCAATATAATCAATAAAGTAATAACGCTATTGAAAGTGTGGATAACTCAAATAAACAGCGAAAGACTGTACATCTTGACTAGAATACTAACTCAGCAATGGAACTGGATACTGTAACGAATACAGTATCCACTACAATGTAATAAGCACAGATCAGATATCGTAACCGTAATGGGTAGAGAGTGAAACGAGAAGTTAACAACCAGTGAGTAAGGGTAAAGGATACATGGTAACTCTAAGGTAAGGGTAACTATACACGTGACTAGAGAGGGCTCGGTGTGGAGATCTAAGGAAAGACGTCTTTATATGGAGGACGCCTTTCGAAGCAGTGGAATGTTCTAGAAGTACAGGAAATGCATGGCTGCGGAAAAAATGAAGACTAAACATATACACATGAAATACTGTGGATGATGCGGTTATGAGGCGTTTATAGTCAGTCGCGATATGCGCTGGACTATAAATGCAATTCTTTTTTTTACATTTTGGCATGCAGGCCACATTAAAGCTAAACCAAAGCGATTGTAGACTAGTAAATAAGAGATCCATTGACTAGAAGAACTCAGCTAGGAATTTGAGATGCGCGTATATACTTTGTCGCGCGGGTCGTAGTTCATTCGACTTTAATTATGAAATAGTACCCGAAAATGCATTAAATAGCATAATATACCATAAAAACCCCCTATTACATCTCCAACTTCAGTGGAGTGGGTAAGAGGCCTGAGAAGAAGCCACCACTAAATGGCATGGGCAGTCGTGACATTGTCGCGTCACGGCACGTGTGTGTCTTCAGCTCTTTTCTGCTATTGAATACGGTGGAGCACGTTGTGCATCGGAGTGTTTCGATTTGATCTCTTGGACGATGCCAACGACGATGTGAAGCGAGATTTGCTGGACAGGAGAAGCTCTGAAAAGAAACTTGTTATGAAAAATCTTAGAAAAGGTTTGAATACAAAAAGGGGGCGTGGTCGGGGGAGGAATGATTTTGCAAGAATCACGATGGCCAGATTTTATGCGTACAGCAATGGTGAAATTGTGAGAAAAAAAAATCCCAGCCACTATCCACTTCCGAAAAATCACAGAAAAGATAATTTCTCAAAGAGACGATTTGACTGAATCACATGGTTAGATTAATAACAATCTATGTATCAGTACTTATGAAACCGTCAAGAAAAAATTCCTCGCATACTAATTTTCAACTAGCAAGAAAACCGATCAAAAGCAAACCCAAAAAAGGCGTGGCCGAGGGCGGGCAGAGGAGAGTGGAGATAACTGTATGAATGTCAACTTCATACAGCCACTGCTGTCTCTACAAGGGTTACAGTATTACTAGCAAATAATTCTGATTAAGATCTGCGGATTTTTACCCCGCTTTTCGAACTTTTCGAAGGACGGGGGTGGGGGGGGGGGAGGGCTTGGCGGAGGAGCGATGAAAGCAGTACGGTAGGACTTTCCAAATTACAATGGAATAGTAAATTCATATCTTCACTTGTATGGATCATAAGTCTCCCACCTACAGCTGTTCTGCGAGCAGAGTTCTGTTACAGATAGCACATCTTTCCGCACTGTAGCCTGGATCAGTTGTCGGCACAGGAGTGAATTTTTAGCGACTCACATATTACTATGCCTATCAGAATTATTCTACTAACCATGTTTCTGGACTGAATATACCTCACTTCTTGGATTCCCCCTTCTCTCCACCCCCCCCCCCCCATACTTCCTCCAAACGCGGCGAGATGAAAAGCACAGGTGCGTCTTGTACCTGGGTAGATTAGAGCGGTTGTCAAGTGCGCGCCAACAACATCACCCCGGCGAGTAAACAAACATTGGCACAAAACAAAAGACACCGCTCCCTCCTCCCCTGGTGTTGGCCAACAGGTGGCACTACATTATGCAAACCATGCAAGAGGCTAAGACAAGCGATTTGGGTCGGGATTTGTGGAGGAGAAGGCCTTACCTTGTCGCATTCGGGGCAACGATATTCCTCATGGGCGATCCGGGGGCAACGGTGTTGGGCGAGTTTGAAGACGTCGTCGTAGCGGACCTGTAAATGAAGAGGTTATAAGAAGAATTTTGGTAATCAAGAATGGAGTCTGGGTAGAATAGGAGAGGAGGGGAGAAACTTCTGAAAATTTACGCGCTTTTGAGAAAGTATTTTCTTGTCTTCCGCTTCCTTCTCTTTGCTTCCTTGCTATTTAGAAAATAACTTGATCATTAGGTTTGAGTTACGTTAGGCTCTAAAGGAATAGGGGAACGAACTCCGCAATTTTAGTCTGCCTTGCGGACAACTGATCCTTTTGCAACACGGTAGCATATCGTTTGAGGACCAGTAGTTCGCGGAGGCGCCACTTTGGCGACGTGGCACGCCGATTGAAACTTTTTTATTCAATATTTCCCAAATTTTGAACTCTTACCCTGAAACTTTACAAAAAGAAGCGTGGCTGGTCGGCTTGAATTTTTAAAAACTCAAAAACTATTCTAGTTTTATTCGCATGCACAAGCACTTGGCATTTTTAGGCTCACGTAGACACTTCCGCTGCAATTCTTGAGATAGGAAAAAGTAGAATTTTTTTTTCAAATTCCCCCCCCCCCCTTCCCCCCCCCCCCGCTACGCAACAACCTTGCTATGTCACTTCTCTGTAAACTCTCTGCAAAATGCCCTTACTTTCATTTCTGCTTGCTAAATTTCCCCTGTGAAGATTTCCATGATAAATGCTACCCTCCCTAACAACCATTTCCCATTATCTAATATGTGCTTAGCCTCTCGGCATGCAATTATGAAAGTTGTCATCGGATAGAAAGGATCTGAATTAATGACTATGTACTTTTGACAAGCACTGAAATGTGTTTCGAGATAGAAAACTTTGCTATAGTCATGGAAAGAGGCAAGACGTATTGAAAAGTGCGTGTGGTTTCTTGAAGATAATTTTTTTGATCGCAAAAACGTTCCTTTGGTGAGCGAGTCAGTTACTTGGATTGAAGAAAAACAACTGCATGGTAGTTTGCACAAATCAAAACATTGCCTCCCCCCCTCCCGAAAACGGTTTTTGAAAGTAGCTTGCATGGGTTGAGAAATTGCGCCACCGACTTGTTTTCATCTTTGCATAATTTAGATGCATTCTAAAATTCTTCAAAAATTCGAATGAGCCTTTTGAAATTAATTTTTTGATTGCCTGCAGCCACGCCCCTTTTCGTGAAATTTTGGCCCCCAAGAGTTCTAGCCATAAGTCTCGTATTTGTTATGTGATTAAATCTCGTTTTCAGAAAGAAATTCCAACTTTCTCAGAACAAAGGATGTGCAGAACTTCCGCAGAAGTACCAAGATCTGCTATGCAAAAACAATTAGAATTGAAATCTCGACATAAAATGAGGATTTTCATAATTTTCGCAGGACAAGTAAGTTAGATTTTCGCAGTACAATTGAGAATTGGCAAAATTCGTGATTCTGATAATATTACAGTTTAAAGGTGACAGAGTTGCGCAAAACTCCGCGCAACTTCCGGAGAATTTTGATTTTCATATCGGCGACCCTTTAATCTTTATCGAGGAAATAGAAGGTGCAAATGCAGCTATCAATTTCACGATAGAACTTTTCAAGATGATGTTGGAAAAATTTTGTAACAGTTTTCGGCACCTGCCCTTCCCCCTCCCTCGATCCTTCTTAGAAATTGATTTTTAGAGTAAAATAAATTGTGAACTTGGCGAATTCTTTCCATTTACCTTCTCCACCCGATAGCACATATACCCCTTTTCCTCGATTCTTTTAGAACCTAATCCTCACAGCAATTTCAAAAAATTGTGAAGTTGTTTTGTTGCTGTTGTTGTTTGTTTTGTTTTCCTGAAACACCTCTCTCACCAAACAGCCATCCCCCTTCTCTCAACCCTTTTTGGAACCTTTCTTCCTTCAGAGAATATCAAAAATACATCAAAGTAGTAATCACTTTGCATAGGCAGCAAACCGAATCGCCAATGACATTTTCGATAGCCTCGATCTTCTTCCTACTCTCCTCAGATACTTCCACATAAGCAGCAGTCTCATCTAGAGAATCCGCATCCTTCTGCAGTTCTTCCGCCGGCGGCACAGCGGATTCATCCTGAAATTACCGCCATTATAGTGGATATCCGTACCCAATTAATGCTTTGCCATTTTTTCGCATCTGTGCTTTCACCCCCCCCCCCTCCCCCTCCAGAAGCGGCGAGCGGCTTCAATAAACCCATCAAGCTAGACAGCTTGATCGTCGGAACTGTCTCCGACGGCAATCGAATGCTAATCGACGGCGATGGCGGGGCCCCGTCTAAGGCCAAAAGCTCAGCGGGTGACAATTATCGCTAACGTCGAGAGCTTTTAGACGCACCGCCGCCACGGCGACAAGGATAATGAGCTAAGTGTCTTATGGGCACTGAGGTTGAGCTGACGATCTAAGCTAGTGACCCCCGAGTGCTTCCGGAAGCTTTATTGCTTTTGGAGGTATTAAGATGTAGAGGTTTCTCAGGTCATGAGAGTGGACACGGACACAGTTTTACACGAAAATGGTGATTGAGAGTTTCTGCCACTTTCAAAATATCAAGGCCTTTCTTTGATTCTTAAAATCTGGAGCTTTGAGGGATAAAATGTAATAGTACGTACTTTCAATTCGGAAAAATTGTGTGGTCCAATGATCCAATTTAATTCCTCTTGGTATATTTGCGGGAAAAAGTCAATTAATTGTCAATTTCGTCCTAGATGGTCAATCATATTTGAGCCTATTAAACCAGAAATTTTTACGAAGTTGAAAATTACCTAATCATTTAATTTGGCAGTTGACGTTTCTTCACAGTTCTTGTTTATCATTTTAAGAGTTTGATAGAAAAATTAAATAAATAAGTGACCGATTAAATAATCTTCATCTCTGTCAAATTCTTAACAGTTTCAAATATTCCTCCTTGGAGAGATGAGTAAAATGCAATATCTTAAGCGTCACAGCATTTCTTTAGTTTCAAATGCAAGTTAGTCGGCTAATTGAAGTGTCTTTTAACATTTTGATTATTATGTATGACAGCAGATATATCATTTTTCTAATTTTCTGTAACGAAATTCTACATCTCTTGTAAGACTTCGGCTAAAAAAAGTAATTACTGCTTTAAAAGCTTCCATCAAAATCTAAACAAATTTCTCCCTAGCAGATAATTTTCAAACTGTAAGCAGATATCGGTATCAGAGCATCATTTATTATTATATACAAAAAAAATCTACTATGGAAAGAGAGAGCAGATCTTTTCAAATAGGTAAAATCAAGATTTTTTCGTGAAGGAAAAAAATTGAAATATGAAATTGCTGCATCTGCTCAAGAAAAATAGAAAAAAAAAGAAATAGAAAAATATTCGCTAAAGAAAATTTTTTGCAGTGTTTATATTTGACTAGGATATGACCGAAGCTCTTGGATGAAAGGATCTTTACGCCATCCTCTGCTTTATTAGAAGAGAATTTATCAATGTTACGAATATTCCTCGTTTTACTCTCACTCTCTTCCTTTTTCAAAAAATTTATGACGATACGAATATAAGCTGGTTGCTGATAAAGCCTATTATATTATTTAACGCAACCCCCATTACTTCTAATAAAATTTTTTTGATAGACTCACCTTGATAAGCATTCCGCTGACCGGTGACGCATTTACAGTATCCTCGCCTAGCTTTCTTTGCTTCACCTTTTTCGCTTCCATAGCCGATGGTGGCCTTTTTCTTGGATTTGCGGGGAATTCAGCCATTTCCTGGAATATAGCTGTTATTTTTCGGAGTAATTTTCAAACCAAAAAAAATTCACCACTAATTTTTGCTGCTGTTGTTTTTGCGCTTGTTGTTGTTGTTCCAGCTGAATCATTGCCAGGAAATTTTGGATGACATGGGGTTGCCACATCATTTGCATTTGGAGCATGTGAAGGGGGTTAAAATTCATAGGCTTCATTGCTTCGGGCTTGAGCAATGGTGGAGCTTCAGGGGTTTGACGTAGATGGTCCTCTGATGAAGAAGCTGCACTGGAACATGATGGCACTGGCGATGGTGTCGTTGTGCTGATTAGTCGATGGACCCAAAAGTCCGAAAGCGACATTCTGAAAATGGCACTTTTAGGCATCTGTAGGTTACTGTAGGAAACTAGAAGATAGGATGAAAAATCGAAAGCAGAAACGGTTCGCGCCCGGTTACGGTAGCGAGTGACCGCGCTTGACCGTTCGTGACCGAATGAGCTGCCGGTGGCAGCAGCTGTTCGCTGCGACCACGCCCACTCGGGCAGTCCACCAATGAGAGGCGGGCGTTCGCCTTCTGTTCGTTTCTCTGCGCTCTCTCATGGTGGTTTTAGTAGAACAATGATGAGGTCATAGTGAAGATATGAGGACGCAGTGGTGAAGAGTTGGAAAAGTATCTCCAGGGGAGGGGGGTTCTTGTTAAACAAATTTCGCAAATGTCAGTAGTACGACATCCGATCCCTTTAAAATTTTCAAGTTGATTTTTCCGCAAGCTTTTCTCTAATAATTAACATTTTTCTGCGATTCTTTCTTTAATAATTGAGTAGTTTTCTGCGCTTTTTCAACCAAAAACAGAAATCTCAATATGCATTTGCAAACCTCAAATCAAAGACAAAGCCTATCAATCTCGAGCTTTGGAAGCGGCCGAAAATATGCCGGAATTAGCATATATCCATGGTGATTCGCCCCATTCTTTCCGTGCCCTCTCACCGCTGCTTCAACAAAGCATAGCCATTTTTCTAAACAAATCGAGAATGAGAATGTCATTCAAACGACGTGAAGGCATTTCGACGTGGAGATGCTGGGATGCTAATGGATTCTCAGGTGGTTATTCTTGGAGATACTTGAAACAGAGTTGCTATGCCAATCGAGAATGTGCCGGTCTTGGCGAAAAAGAAGGATTGTCTAGTTGAGCAGCGATAAGTCTAATCTTATGGAAGAACTTATATATGATGTCCGGTACACCACTTCCTCTTGATTCCCTCAGTTTAGCTTACCATTTGAGTGCGTGCCAATCTTGCCGAAGAGTCGCTGTTCAGAGAATTAACAAGAACAATGTCTATAACAGTTCTGAAAGGAGTTAGGTGCTTACAAAAAGATCCCTTCTGTATTGATAGAGTTATTATAAAGCGAGGTTCAGTAAATGTGTTCTGAACTATATGTTCGCTTGTGGATGCGACTTTGACGTCTTTGATTAAAAATATTCCAGCATCAACACGACCGCTCCTCTTAATTTCCCGGTTTCTGTTCGAAACTCCTTAGACCCAAGTAACCTGACAATTCAAATTCAACATTTATTGCTCTAGGTCAACTTTCGCAAAAATTAGCAACCCCATTTCTAAAATATCTTCAACTTAATTTTTGGCTCAACTCGCCACCCGTGATATTTGGTTAGTTAGAGCAGAACAAAGGATTCTTGTTTGGGGTGAGGCTACATGAAGTAGCTCATTGAATGGCGCTAAACCACATCAAATTCGAATTTTTGATTTTGACACTTTTTTATTATATGGAGCTCCGGGTGTATGACGGGAACAAGATTTTCCGCTGGTTGTTTCTGCATCGAAATGTGTTAATGTCTTGAATAAAGAGGAATACTACCTTATCCAAGGAGAATCACAAAATAGTCAATGGGCTGTATATTCTTACTGCTTTGAAATGAGCTCAAAAGATAAACTTCTTTCAAGAGGCAAAAATTATGCATATGCAATCAACAGCGATTTTGTATATATTATATCTCTCTACTTCATCAGCAGATTTCTATACTTAGAAATTAACGCTTTTATGCAGTTGACAAGTAAAGCACATTGTCTGCTAAGTTTCTGGAATCTCTTACAACACTGAAGTCTATTTGCGTTTGTTGTTCGGCCATCTCCTGAAAAAGTTCATTGAGGAAAATTACCTGCTAATATGACCTGCTTACCTTACTTAACATAAAAGAAAGAAGTTCTACCGAAGTGCCAGACTTTGCTGTAGTTTTTCCTGTATAGGGGTAGAGGCGAAACAGGCTTAACAGTAATCCTTTATTTTTATTCATTATGCGAATATTTCTAACGTTTAGCTGCACTCAAATTCCTCGTCTGTCAGTCAGATGTTCGTGTTTCGTTCAGGAACTCATCAAAGCTGTCAAAAATTCGTATGCGTTGATGTTCGATGTTCGTCATAAAAATTCCGCATGTATCTATAGCCGGGGCGAGCTTCGGCTCGCTGACTCTGTGATGGATCGTCATGTCGCATCATGCAAAATTCATTCGAAGAAGCACAGACAGCCCTTTTCTCCCCCCCCCCCCCCCCCAACCAATGGCGCAAACAACATACGCCACAGTTCCCATCCTTCAACTAATTGAGTGGGGCGCCTTACTCGATTGTCATGGTACAGTGTCAAATGGACTGGAGCAAGAGGAGGGGGGGGGGGTACTTGTCATTAATTGGCACCATGTACAATAACGAAGTGGCGACAATTACTATGTAGATCGTTTGCAGATGGTATTGTCAAGGAGCAATGGAGGAAGAAGGAAGGAGAAGGTGGTGGAACCTACTTCTGTTGCTAGTGGAGTCAGTCTATACATCCTATGGACCACGATCTTCCCTTCCCCCCTCCCCCTCCGATCGTTCAGAACAGCTTCATCCTAAACAGCTGTAGTGAATCTTGATACATATGTGCACAGAAGAGGAGTTGATGAAACCTACCTCTGCCGCAGGACAGCCAGTACCACCTATGGACCACTACCATTCCCTCCTCCCCCCCCCCGTCTCCCGGACCGAGCAGCTATAGCGGATCTCGACATTTAAATAAGAAGGGTTTACTTCTATTGACAGGACAGTTGTACGACAACCTATAAAACCCTCGGGATCACTATCCTTGCCCCTTCCTCACCCCGTGTATACCTCGAACCAGCTTTATCTGAAGCAGCAGTAGCAAGTTTTAATGTTCACAGGAAGACGTGGAGGTGGTGGAGCCTACTTCGGTTGTCAGGACAGCCGTATTACAATCAATGATTTCGGGACCTGCACCCCCTCCTTATTTCGAAAAACTTCACGCTGAATTTGGGCTCCCTCCCCCTTCCTCCCCCTTACCGTCCCTCCTTCCGAACCAGCTTCACCCTGAGCAGCTGTAGTGGATTTTGCACTTATGTCTACAGGGTGGGAGCTGGTAGAACCTACTTCTGCTGCCAGTACAGACAGAGTCCTACAACCTATGGGCTACGACCATTCCCCCCCCCCCCCTCCCCAGCTTCACCTCGAGCAGCTGTAGCGGATCTCGATACTTATGTCCACACACAGTCATCTGTATAGGCATGACCTCAGCTGACCCCGTGAACCACCACCTGTCTGGCCATCTGCACCCGCCCGCAATGGTCCATCCACGCGCGCGTTCCGCACACCAACAGAATGCGCGTGAATCCGTGACGACGCGCGGCTAATCGCTTCGGCCAGCTGTTCGTCGTCGTTCGGGCTCTCTTCTACGCATAGAAAACGAAAACGAGAATGTCATGCTAATTGGTGTGGATAAGTGCGAAACGGAACCTCGATCGGTTGAGCAGCTGCGCTCATCCTTGTATGGTTCAGTGGGGTAACTGACGGGAAATGTGATACATAGAAGAAGCAAAAGACACTTTATCAATGCAAAAATGACCGGTACGGAATGATTTTGTAGATCTGCTTTATTAATCGTTTTGAATAAGATCAATTTGAAAACGTTGGTATTTGTGGCTTTTCGTGGAAGTCGTGATTCCTGACTCGTATGCTGACTATTTTTTTAACTGTGATTTTATTCATCCACCAAGACTCTGAAAGTACACCATAAAGGAAAGCAAAAAAAACTCACAAAAAATCTTGAAAAAAACATGATAGGGACCTGCCTAACTTACAAAGAGAAGTAGGAGAAGAATTACCATGCAATTCTTAATTTTATATTAATCGTCATGAAAAAATTACAGTATTCAAAGAATCTAAATTTGTGACGTCTCGTTTGGTAAGCCTAGTTACAGTATTGCAACTGGAACTAGGCTGCTTTGTTTGAATAAGCATCGCGACCTTACGAACATAGCACGAGTTCTAAATGAGGGCATTAAAATTTTGTGAGTACACAGCTGAGTGGATTTTTGCAAGTTCTGGAATCACCTCACAAATAAGAGTTTTTGGCAGAAAGCAATCAGAAGGTCATGGTTTAAAGATATAGCCAACAGGAAGGGAATGAAAAGCTGCATCGAATGCATGCTTAGGTGCAACTAGGTTTTCAAAGCACGAAGTTGTATAGTCGTTGGAAAAAAAGCACAAAACTTTTGGGATAATCTAATATAAGGATACAAAGCTGGCAACAAAGCAACTTATAAGAATTACTGCTAGCCCTTCGTGGAAGATCGTCACTTTATTTACAACAGATTTGATAAAGACCGAGGCGGTAAGCTTAGCGGATGAACCTAACATATATTCAAACCCAATATTCCCAGGTGTTAACCAGTTTTTTAGAATTCTTTTTTCCTCGTAAGAGATAGCACTATATCTCTATGTTGGCGGCCCGGCACGGGCGAAATGTAATCATTGAAAAGATGTTTCCTAAAGGCTCTCGGCAGCTTTTCAGTTTAACCAATTTCCTCAGCCAAAGCTCCGGACATAGTTCACGCGATTTCAGTTGCCACGCTATTTGGCAATGTTCCAAATCTTTATAACTCATTGTAGGCGCACTCTGAATGCACAAAATGTAGGACATTCCATCATTCTGCGAAAGTTATACATACTGTCCATTTTGATTTGCAAGTAATGTATATGAAGACATAAGCAATCATTAGAAAATTGAAATTCAGTTTAGTTAATGCGTTCAAGAATTAGGAAATTATGTGACCAAATAAAGTACCTTTTTTCATTTCCCTACCCCCTTCCCCTCCCCCTAAGTAAATGTAAACAAAATCTTGGAATTGGAAATGATCAGGATTTTTACTGACATTCCGATACAGTACCGTTTTGTCCGACGAACGGAGTGTGAAAGAACTGCGGCATTTCCCATGTTTTGATTCAGAAATATTGGCGGCTTTATATCCCAACAGACTTCCTTGGCCCTTCGCCAGCACTCCATCCGAATCTCTGCGATACAAATCCGCTGAACAATTCACCGTATGCTTTTGCAGCTCGTTACTTATTCATTGTTTTGCTGCTGTGTCGCCAATGTCGTCGGGTGATTGGCAACACATCGACAGGTAGACGTTCTCTAGGGGAAAGCATAATGTGATTTTGAATTTGAATAGGTTTTAAGTATGCACAAGGGGCTAGTGGTTGGTGGCTAGGACGAGGAAGGGGGGGGGTCAAAAGAAGATTTGCTGAAGAAATTGATTCCTGAGTTCTATACCAAAAGCGCATCACGTTCTTGCTGGAATCATTGGAAATATTATTTCAGGTTATTTTCTCAGACTACAGATTTTTTATTTCCAGGAAGAAATGTAATAAAGATGAAATGCTTTGAAAAGACCCTTTCTTCCTTTACCAAAAACTATGAAATGCCAATCTTCCGTCCTTCAACCTTTCTCTTCCCGAGTATGAACCAAAAGATCCACGCATGTCATCCTCAACTAATCATTCGACAGTAAAAACCATCGATGTCTGCATGAAATACGAGATCGCGACATATTGTCGCACATTTTCGATTTACGACACCATCTGGTGTCGTGACGAACACGCGACACGAAACAGGATGAGCGGTGTCGAGATGAGCACAAAAATTATTTTTGGTGATATTTTTGAAGGATGTGTAATTCGTTTTTATAACTACGGCAATGAAGGGAGTAACTGCTGAAAGTCGAACCATTCTCGCGGATTTTTTGTATTCTCGGAGAGTGGTGGGGGTTTTGCGCTGTACAGCTATGACTACTATAATTTTTGAGCCTTTATATTTCTAATTTTTACGCTCCATGTGAGCGAATACTTAGTAACAGGACAACTTCAGAGTAAGTGCTCGTTTTCATGTTACTGTAGGATTACGGTATATTAGCATACCGTAGAACATTTTCAGACAGCGCGATGTGTTGTATCCCGGAGAGATTTCAAGGGGAAATTTAGCACGACGACGAATTGGGTATCGTGGAGATTTTGATGCACGCGGGGGGGGGGAGGGAATCACAAGAAATATCCACGGTAGCGAGGGCGTTTTTAAATTCTGTTATTTGTAATCTTCACAGTTGGATGGACGATGTCATCGCGATACTGTATGTATACGGTACCATCCAGCACAAGGGCTGCCTGGGAGATTTTCTGGAGAGAAATTTATCAGAAAGACTAATTTGGACACTGTAAGGACTATTTTGTGCCTTGTTTGATCTTATCTATAAAGCTGAATGTGTGCTGTATGTATGTATGTCTGCACGTATGTGCGGAATAGAATTTTTTAAATTTGAACCGATTTGGACCAAACTTGGCACACATACACTTCGGGCCCCGGCGTGTCATAGGCTACTTTTCGTCATCGATCGATATCGATTTTATCGATTTTTTGCAAAATCTGAGCTACAGGGCTGGGAGTTGGCACAGGGGGGTAATCGAGCATGCTGATTACAAATATATTATTGACAGGCCCTGGCGGAGCCGGGTTTGCCAACTAGTTTCTTATAATTCTCCAGCTATAGTAAGAAAATTATACGGTAAGTATAAACAGCCTTTCATCGAACAAGTAATATTGTAGGATTACGGTACATTGAAGCTATTGCTCCTTTACCTTATGAGTTATAATATTGTGTAAGTGACTAAATTATCTATCAAAATGATTTTCAAAAAATTTTGATCCTAAAATCAACTTCGAAAGCCATTTTCCATAAAATTTAGAAGTTTTAGGAAAAACTTCTAAAAGCATCCCAAAGTCATAACTTCACCCAAATTTTGTCTCCCCCCCCCCCCAAAAAAAAACGAACATTTTTGGGCCGCCACTGTCACATGATTGTCATCCCACTGACAAACACTAAGCAAGGCAATAAATGACTACTGAGTTATTATGAAAAACAAGGAAATGAATTTTTATCAACTGCTGGAGTAAGAGAGTACTTTTGTAAATTAATTCAATTGATTTTCAATATTCAAAACAACTATTGCTTTTGCGCAGTCCTGCTGAGCTCTTGAATGCAACCCTACCCACTCAATATTACCGAATGCAAATCCGATGACAAATATGGGCTTAGAAGTCGACGATGCATATGACCTTGCATATGATTGTTTACTGTGTTCTACCATCATGTCATCTTCAATCACACTTGTTGATGCCAATAATTTGCCACTAATCTCGCAATCCCCTTTGTCGCCGCTTTCTTCTGACTTAATAAGGCAGCTGCCCTATGTTGACATCAAATCAGCTGAGGTGCGAGTGAAGTCAAAGAGTCTAATTCGGGCGCGAAATAGTGCGAATCATAAAATTGAGGGAACAGCGTGATTATCCTATTACAGATATTTGCACTCGTTTTTTTAGAAAAATAATCATTTTCAGTTTTTGACATCCCAAACATTTTTACCGTACTCAGTATGGAAAAAGTACCTATTTTTTCGACACTTAGGGAGGTACCATATAAGTAATAAAACTAAAAACGGCTACTCTTGTCCAGTGGTTGCTACATATTTTCTTTAGCGTTTAGATACTATTTTAAAACACCTCAACTAATTTCGTCCCTCAGAATTTTCCACCGCTACTGCTTTATTTTCATCGAAATGCTTCTCTTTCCAATGGCGAATTAAGAAAACCTCAAAAAATCAAGAGTGCTATCTATTCCTTTGAAAAAATGTTAAGCTACAATTCCAAATTTTCTTGCGTATGACTTCCTGTTGATTGGAATTAACACTTACAATTGGAAGTACCCGACTTATTGCCGTTGTGCTCCAGCATGCTAAAACACTTTCCATCTTTATCCGTTTCGAAAATACGCTTAAAATATCTAGCTTTGAAGACCTTTTTATCCTCAACATATCCTTTGATTCAAGGGGATTGGCGGCTGGAAGGCGGGCCTCCAAGGCCTAATCAAGGCTAGAAGATGATCAGAGAGCACGGTCGCGGGAGAGTCGCAGACTGCGTCGCGTGTGCGATGCGAGAGGTCGCCTTTCAGCCACCAATTCAGCCGAATCAAAGATATCTTTTCCAACGATATCTTGATGGTGGATTTTCTTGTCTCCGCAGTTGTAGAGGAACACGCACTGTTTGACAGCCATTTTAATCTGCAGCCGAAATTCAAAATTCACTTTTTTCAAAGGATCTAGCTACCGAATCCAGATTCAAAAATGGTATGGTGCTCTAAAGTTTTCAAAATGTAGGTTCAGCCGTTGAAGTTGATCTGTATAGTTTGAATGCAGTATACTTATCGCTTTTGGAGGAAGCATTACGTTGCTACATAATAACTCTTAGTAATTCTGTCTTCATATTCGAAACCCAATAAAAATCTTCAGGTCTCCAAAATCTATTATGTGACCTAACAATGAAACAGCATGAGTTACTTTCAATTCTAAAGTAATAGTAAGAGGTTCTGCAATTTATTCCTGCAGATAATAATGCAGATAGAGCGCCATATCCTTAGTTAGCTGAAATTTATGAAGATTGTTGACAGTGTTCGCACCGCTTTCATGCCATATCACCAGTTCAAGAAGAGTCTGTTGAGCTATTATTTCCTTTCAACGGTCCTATTGCTTTTCGTTGCCGCCGCCTTTGAATCGCCTTTTGTGCTCGAAATGGCCGTGCTCCCCTTTTCGCATATTCTGGCCCATCCTCTTCGCGTTTTTTTCGAGGATTCACATTCGTTTTTCACATTGCGGTCAGAAAGGCGAATTCACCAACGAATAATTGCTCGAACGCAGATGTTTTGGCATGTAATCGGCGTGGCGAAATGCAGCTGGATAGATATGTGTGGATGAGCAGTCAACGAGGAGCGGACGATTGTCGAGAAATTTCTGGGTCAGAGGGAGAGGAGGAGGAAAGGGGATGAAAAGTCTATGCGAATTTTTTGACAAATAATCCATCAAATATCAAATCCCTAAAGTGTAATGTGCCTTGATTTTCTGAGCGCATCGGTGTCAAATGAAAGCAAAAGTGCTGAAATTTCGAATGAGTAAAAATAGAATTTGTGTCCTACATACAAAAATATTTTCATGTTTCACTGCACTAAAAGCTGTTTCATTTAAAACGCAATGGCAGTGCTCATTTTGTCACTTCCATATCGCCATTCATATTCAATTTTTTTCGAAATTAATACAATATCACTGTTAAAAAAATCCTATAAAATGGATCTTGACTTGTAATGCGAAAATGACCACTAATGCATGAGCTCTTCTACAATAGAAGACATTTATATTTCATTTGGTACTGCAGAAAAGTTATAGTTGGAAGAAGTAGTAAGGTTCCTTCCTTCAGCATATTTTCATATAGAACCCTGGATTTATCTGCTCGATAGGTGATCTAGTTTGAGTTTTTACGGAGAACAAATCACGAAATTACTGATGCTAAAAAAATGCTAAAAAAATATTGCGAGGAGAGAGAATAGGGGGAAAGTCACTGCTACATGCTCCACATAACTTTTTGTGTTATTCTAAAGACCTTTTTTGTGTTATTCAAAAAAACTCCTTTTCTTTGACTTTGTTCAAGAAGCAAAGTGCCCTCATTTAGGGCGTTTCCAGAAATCTCGAAACGACCTCAAACTTGATGAAAAGTTTGTAGCTTCCAGGTTTTCCGTCGTTCACTTTTTTCTCAATGAAGCGAAAAAGTGCGTAGGAGGAATGCAGTGACTTATGAAAAAATGTAGGCAGAAATCTATCTCGCATATCTATACCTCTAAGATTTATTGTTGGGAAAAGTGTTCTTAAACTTCATCTAATCGCACTTGACTCGCCCGAAAATTCCAATTATAATTTTTACACTTGAGCCGTAATCCGTGACATGGATATGCTGAAAAGAATGCTTAGCGCAGATGAGCAATCGCTACGATTGCCTCACCTTTGCTGACCCGTGGCACCTGCTGGTGACGCAATCACACTGACAACACTTCTCACACGGATTATCCCCCCTACAATCACGACAACATGACGCAGAATTTGTGAATCATTGTGCTGGCACCTGTACTTGTCGCTGGCAATGCAATACCTCAATGTGGATTAGGTTGAAATGAATTTTCAAAAATTTTATCTAGTTTCTGCAGACCTGCGAAAAGCTGAGATTTTCTGTTTATCGCATAACTTTGAAGAGCTCTTTCCAATGTCGTGGGATACGT